GTTTGTCATTGCTTTTCTCCCAAGAAGCAGGCGTCTTTTAATTTCACTTCGCATATAGGAGGTATAAAATGCTTGCATGGGGGGCAGGGGTAGATCTAATTTCGTGTCTAACCAAAGGAGTGCAACTGCTCTATAAAGGGACATACTTGCTTTCTGTCTGCCCCACCAGCAATGTAGACGTCCGAGGCTTCAACCAATCTTAATATGCTGAGCAGATTGGTAAACACAAGGGACCTTCTCGCCATTGTGATAGGAATTTTATGGTCTTAGATATATAGTAATGTTCATAACCGCAAGTACATAGATCAGCACAGGAAGACCGACCTGAAGCCATTTTGATTCCTAAACTGAGCAAATGTTTTCTCTGCAAGGTCAAAATGGAAAATCCTCCCCATTGTTTTTTCCTTCAAAAATCCTGTCTTAAGCTCAGAAAAGGCTCAATATGGAGGCCAAATGGCCGAAATATTGGGAAATCTTGGAACAAGAAGGAGACAAATTGAAATTGCAGAGCTTTGAGAAATTAAAAGATAAAGTGTGAGACTGGCTTCATTACTATCAGATAATGGAGGCATACAATTTGGATAAGAAAATTGGCTTCCAGGTGGAAAAATCAAAACTAGAAACAGAACTGTTAGAACCCAAAACTAAGATTTTGTCAAAGATGTATAACCTGCTGTTGAAATGGAATACTCAGGATGAAACGGTGAAATCTGCTATGATTAAGTGTGCACAAGATGTTGGACATAATATTATGTTTGCTGACTGGGAACAGTTATGGACCACAGGTATGAAATTTACGGTATGTAATGCCCTAAGAGAGAATATTATGAAAATGATATACAGGTGGTACATGACACCAGTCAAGCTTGCAAAAATTTATCATTTGCCCGATAATAAATGTTGGAAATGTAAAGAAAACGAAGGTACATTCTTTCACCTTTGGTGGACGTGCCCAAGGATTAAGGCTTTCTGGGAGATGATCTATAATGAACTGAAAAAGGTATTTAAATATACCTTTTTGAAGAAACCAGAGGCCTTTCTCCTAGGCATAGTCGGCCAATTGGTGCCAAAGAAGGATAGAACTTTTTTTATGTATGCCACAACAGCAGCAAGAATACTCATTGCAAAGTATTGGAAGACACAAGATCTACCCACCTTGGAAGAATGGCAGATGAAGGTGATGGACTATATGGAATTGGCGGAAATGACTGGCAGAATCCGAGACCAGGGAGAAGAGTCGATGGAAGAAGATTGGGAAAAGTTTAAAGATTATTTACAGAAATATTGCAAAATTAATGAATGTTAGAATGATGTTGGATTGAAACTAAGTGGTCTTTAGCTGAAATGTTATAAGGGAATATGAAAAAATGGATTATTAATAGGTAAAAATTTAAAATTATAATACTTTACGATTAACGACTAGGATATACAAAGAGGGGAGGGATTTGCTGAACTAACAAACTGAACTGGAATACAAAAAAGGGAGGCGTGAGGAGGTCTGGGAAATAAGCAAATGAAGGATAAGTAATGGAAAGAATGAAGTGTTTTTAACTATTTTTATTTTTGCATTTTCCTTTTTTTCTATATTGTAATATTTTGAAAACCTTAATAAATATCTTATAAAAAAAAAACAAAAATCCTGTCTTAAGGGTATGTCTGTGTTTGAATAGGGTGTGAGCCTGTGACCTGGCCCAGGAACTAAGTATTTATCAGTACAAAAGAATGGCCAGGTTCCCCAGGCAATCCAATCAAGTAACCTGCCAGACAGGAGATAAACAAGGACAGGAGAAAAACAACATTCAAATTTCTGTTTTAGACTGCCTTTTCTGTGATGTAGGTATGATGTATCTGGGGGGGTGGTCTTAGGTTACACCCCTTCTGTGATGTATGTATGATGTTTCTGGGGGTGGTCTTGATCTACAGGGTGGCAATTTCAAAAGTCTTTATTAGGCCTTGCGTGCCATTGTTCTGGGTTCCTCCTCCTCTCCTGCGGGTGAGGGGAGCACCCTGTTGCAACAGATCAATAAAGATCAAGCTTACTAGCTGCTTTGCTTCTCAATATTCTCTGGTTGGCCTTTGTTATTTTCTCCTACTAATAAGGAACCTATGTAAGGACTCTATATGGGCTCTTGGACACCACATAAGGGAAAAGGGCAATTTTTGTTTACAACACTAGTAAGTTTACAACACCATGAACCCTTCCCATTAAACACAAAGATACCTCTTACTAGACATGTATACCATTTGCTTTTGCATTTTCCTTTTCCTTTTTAACTGGTTGGGGGAGGATTATTTAACACCCACTCAAGAAACCCTGCGTAGTAGAATCTGCAGGAAATAATTTATAAGGTATACCTGATCTCATACAGAGATTGCAAGGAAACAGAAGCCAGAAGGTTAAATGGTGTGTGTGTGTGTGTGTGTGTGTGTGTGTGTGTGTGTGTGAGAGAGAGAGAGAGAGAGAGAGAGAGAGAGAGAGATTTTTAGGACCCCAGGCATTCCTGGTGTCCTAATTCTCACTTGCAAATCTGACTTTCCTCATTGGCTAAAAGCACTGAAAGGCAGGAGCAGCCAATCTGGTTTATCCCACGAAATCTCTTAAAACATTAAGCCTTCCCTGCATGTTTTGCTTAGTGTATAACTAAGAGGTTGACTTCATTTTTTAAAAAATGAAACCTAAGGATCTTTGGTCCCTGCTGTTTTGGTGCCTGGCACATGAACACCCCCTGGACCCCCCCGGAAGTGCCTCTTGCCACAGAAATAAAATCTCCATCCTCAGGAGAGAGAATTCAGTGCTGTAGCTCCTGCAACGTGGAACACGCTTCCTAGTGGAGATGAAGCAAACACTTAAACTGTATAGATTTTGGGGTTTAATGAAAACATTATTTTAGCAATATTTTAGGAATGATAATTTTTGACCTGGTTGCTCTTTGTTGTATGCTGTGATCTGTGTGATTATACATTACAGTGGTACCTCAGGTTACATACGCTTCAGGTTACATACGCTTCAGGTTACATACGCTTCAGGTTACAGACTCCGCTAACCCAGAAATAGTGCTTCAGGTTAAGAACTTTGCTTCAGGATGAGAACAGAAATTGTGCGGCGGCCGCGCGGCAGCAGCAGGAAGCCCCATTAGCTAAAGTGGTGCTTCAGGTTAAGATCAGTTTCAGGTTAAGTACGGACCTCCGGAACAAATTAAGTACTTAACCCGAGGTACCACTGTATTCACAGATTCTCATAACTATTTTAAATAAACAAATGTTTGTTTTAGTTCAGGAGAAAAAGTAATGCACAGTCTTCAATCACTGGGGAAAAAACCTGAAGCCAGAAAGCCATTACAGTCATACCTCAGGTTACATACGCTTCAGGTTAGAGACTCCGCTAACCCAGAAATATTACCTCGGGTTAAGAACTTTGCTTCAGGATGAGAACAGAAATCGTGTGGCGGCAGCAGGAGGCCCCATTAGCTAAAGTGGTACCTCAGGTTAAGAACAGTTTCAGGTTAAGAACGGACCTCCAGAACGAATTAAGTTCTTAACCTGAGGTACCACTGTATCTCACATTCTTAATGCTTTAACTATACTTAGAACAAAATATATCCAAGCAACTGCTAGAAAATGTGTGTTTTTTTAATCTGCCAAAAGAGCTGGGGAGGAGAAAGCTCCTTTTGTGGTACATGTAAGTGGCTCTCAACATCTCCATTCTAAGTGCTCTCTTTTATTCATTCCTTCCCCCTGTCCCCCAAAACCCTTACTTGCTATAAAACTAGCAATCCTTTCCCCACGGAAGGAAGAATGCTTGAATCATGGAATAATCTTACACAGCTGATCTAAGGTTCAACAGACAATCTAAACCTTATCAGATGGTGTTCAACAGAGTCTGTCATGGACATTAACTATGCAAAATAAGTACCGTATTTTTCGCGACATAAGGCGCACCGGACCATAAGACGCACCTAGTTTTTAGAGGGGGAAATCAAGAAAAAAAATCTTATGCACGCAGCCTGTCCGCTTCTCCCAGACCCTCTGGGGCTGCTGGGGGAAGCCCGCGCCCCCCCCCCCCCAGCCCCAAAGAGCAAAGAAGCCAAGACAGCGAGCGGGATCCATCCCACTCGCTGTCTTGGCTTCTGCCATAGCTGCACGCAGCCTCTCCCGGCTGGAGAGGTTGTGCATGGCTAAAGAAGCCATACCCCTCCCGACCGGAGGGGCTGCGCGCGGCTATGGCAATACCCCCACCTCTCGCAAAAGCCCACAGGAGCCGCACACCCTTTAAGGAGCACGCTGCTCCTGCGGGCTTTTCTATGAGGAGGGAGAAGGGACTGACTGGCCGCATCAGTCCCTTCTCCCTCCTGGGGAAAAGCCCATAAGAGCCACGCGGAGCTTGTGTGAGGCTCTTGGGGGCTTTTCCTGCCTGCCTCCCCCTTGCATTCACTCCATAAGACGCACACACATTTCTCCTTACTTTTTGGGAGGGGAAAAGTGCATCTTATGGAGCGAAAAATACAGTAGCTTGGCCATCGATCGCCATTTACCAGCAGACTCTGCCACACATTTTCCCCAGTAGATCTGCTCCAGAATTGTGCTTTGTGTGCATTTTAATTAAAAGTCACTTTGGAGCCAATCTTGGTTGAGAAACTGAGTAGGCCGGCAATCATTTTATTTGTTTAGCTATAAGCAAAAACAAAACAGGAAGCAAAAGAAGCAAAAAGCAAAACAACATTCAGAGTTGACCCACACAAATTTCGTTCTTCATTTCCTGGCTGCCGGCGCAAATAAACACATACGCACAAAACGGTTTTTATTATCAGACAGCAAAAAGCATGCAACTCCATTAGGTGTGACAAATTTCTTCCTGCAGCTAAATGGCAACACATATTTTCCATGGGGATCTTTATATAAAGTGGATACTGAGCAATACAGCAGACAATGTTCTCTGTAAGAGTTTCCCAAGGCACACAAAGATGCTGTTCTAAGGGTAATTTCTTATAATGCCCACCCAGAAAAGCAGAGGGCATGACATTAAATCTTAGTTCTGTAAAAGCATTCTGATAAGCCCGCTCCCTTTCCCTGGCATTGCGGGAGGGATCTGGGCCTCCCGGTGACCTGGCTGTGGGCAGAGGGATGTCACCTGCATCATTGGGACTCCCCGCTGCGTCACATACCCTGGCTGACCAATCGGGATGGCTGGGGGGCGTGACCACCTGCCCTTTAAACCAGGGGTAGGCAACCAACGGGCCGGGGGCCGGATGCGGCCCAATCGCCTTCTCAATCCGGCCCGCGGATGGTCCAGGAATCAGCATGTTTTTACATGAGTAGAATGTGTCCTTTTATTTTAAATGCATCTCTGGGTTATTTGTGGGGCCTGCCTGGTGTTTTTACATGAATAGAATGTGTGCTTTTATTTAAAATGCATCTCTGGGTCATTTGTGGCGCATAGGAATTCGTTCAGATTCTTTTTCAAAATATAGTCCGGCCCACCACATATTCTACGGGACGGTGGACCGGCTCATGGCTGACAAAGGTTGCTGACTCCTGGTTTAAAGGGTGGCATGGCGGGGGGGGGGGGGGCGGCCTCCTTTCACCTCCTCGCCCTCACCAGCCATTTGGTTTGTGCCTACCTTGTAGCAATCGTCACAACTTTGTAAGGTTAGGCACTGGGTAAGCCAACCTAGCAGTTCGAAAGCACATCAAAGTGCAAGTAGATAAATAGGTACCACTCCAGCGGGAAGGTAAACGGCGTTTCCGTGCGCTGCTCTGGTTTCGCCAGAAGCGGCTTAGTCATGCTGGCCCCATGACCTGGAAAAACTGTCTGCGGATAATCGCCGGCTCCCTCGGCCAGTAAAGCGAAATGAGCGCCGCAACTCCAGAGTCGTTCGCGACTGGACTTAAGTGTCAGGGGTCCTTTACCTTTACCTTTAAGCCTTGTTTATGGGAAGGGAAATGGTTTCCTCCACCTGCCGCTCCTCATTAAGGGTATCCCGTTAAAGGGATGGGGGGGCGTGGTTCCTGTCCAAAGCCTGGGCGTGGGCAAGGGCCATGGCACGACCCCATCAGGGACTCTGGGAGTGCCCCGATTTGAAGTATATCACAGGACTCCCCCTATCCGTGGTTTACCCTTATGAGACTCCCTCAGACGGGCAGGAGTCAGGATATAGTTCGGTTTCACCCAATGCCTAAGCCAAACCGCTCACATCTGTAACCAATAAAGTTGTGACCTATTTCATCCCATTAACCTAAACATTTGTGTCAGTGTGTTTATTATCTAAGGGAACCGTGGGGCCCGGGGCCTCACCACGCAATGGAACTTAATACAAAGACACAGTCTAGACAGAATCTGGAGGAATCCCAGACAGATGGGCGGGGTATAAATAATAAATTTTATTATTATTATTATTATTATTATTATTATTATTATTATTATTCCCATATGCAAGAAAAGCCAACCATGGTTTCAACACAGACTGGATCTCGGTCCATTTGCTATCAAGATCTCTGGAAAGTGTCTATAGAGTGGCTATTCACTTTTGGAATTTTATGGGAGAGCCATAAACTGTAAAAACTGTAAATGTGCCGATGGCAGAGTCAACTTTCTGTTGTGGAAATTTAATAGCCAAACTTGTATTCTTGCCTGAAGTGCTTAAATACAAAGGAACAAATGTGTATAATTGCCGTAATCTCTAGCATAGTTTGTAACCTCTAGCATAGTGAGTATAAATATCCTAATTTGGAATTTTGTGATCAAAGAGAGCCAAGGTGCCTTTGTTGAATTACATAACTTCTCCATACATGTAACCCCAAAAATTGTCTAGCAGCCAGTAGCAGCCGCTTGCAGTCCCACTGCCTCTCTTCCCAGTGTCCGCATTCCTAGCACGTGTTGCTACTGCTGCCAGTTCTTGGGGTTGGGTAGGAGGGGGTTCAGTAGATAGGGCAGGTAGGATGTGGGATGGAATATATAAGTAGCAGTCAAGTACAACATTCCTTGTTTTCCTAGAGTGGACATGCAAGGAGATGTTTGGTCTAGCCAGTCGAAACTTCCTTGTTCCTCCTGGGCTGGGGCATACTTCCTTTGCATGTGATAATAATAATAATAATAATAATAATAATAATTTATTTATACCCCGCCCATCTGGCTGGGCTTCCCCAGCCACTGTGGGCGGCTTCCAGAAAAATATTAAAATACTGTAATACATCAAAATTAAAAGCTTCCCTAAACAGGGCTGCCTTCAGATGTCTTCTAAAAGTCTGGTAGTTGTTGTTCTCTTTGACATCTGATGGGAGGGCGTTCCACAGGGAGGGCACCACAACCGAGAAGGCCTCTGCCTGGTTCCCTGTAACTTGGCTTCTCGCAGTGAGGGAATCACCAGGAGGCCCTCGGTGCTGGACCTCAGTGATGGGGATGGAGCTGGGTGATGGGGATGGAGACGCTCCTTCAGATATACTGGACTGAGGCCTGGACTAGAGGTGGGCATGACCTTACCTATCCAGGCAACAAAAGGACAAGGCATGCTGCCACACTCTCTCTTTTTGACTTCCACCGTCGTTGGAGCAGCTTTTAGGTAGAAATGCTTTCAGCCAACACTGGGATTATTTCCATATGGGATAGCTCCACACGTACAGGGTGAGTCCTTTAAAAGAGGCCCCGTGGATACAGAGTACACATGTTCCACGGGGCCTCTTTTAAAAGACTCACCTTGTATTTACTTTGTAACTAAGTCTGCCTTCAGGGATCCAACTGTGAACTGATGATGTGAGTAAACTTCTTTTATTGACTTTAAACAAGATTGTGGCGTGTTTATTCTTTTAAGAGGGATATAAGGGAACTCACCAGGAACCTAATAGTGAGAGGCTTCTACAAGCCTGCAACCAGCTATCTGCTGTGCGTTTAAAAGGGGAATGTAAAACTCTGCTAAATAAAGGAACGTACTAGCGCAAGTCTTTGTCCATTGAGTTTTCTTGGCAGGGATACTGGAATGACTTGCCGGTTCCTCCTCCAGGTCCCATCACCTCCTGGCAAATAGAAGGGGAAGAAATGGAGGCAGTGAGAGATTGTACTTTCTTGGGCTCCATGATCACTGCAGATGGTGACAGCAGTCACGAAATTAAAAGACGCCTGCTTCTTGGGAGAAAAGCAATGACAAACCTAGGCAGCATCTTAAAAAGCAGCGACATCACCTTGACGACAAAGGTCCGTATAGTTAAAGCTATGGTTTTCCCAGTAGTGATGTATGGAAGTGAGAGCTGGACCATAAAGAAGGCTGATTACTGAAGAATTGATGCTTTTGAGTTCTGGTGCTGGAGGAGACTCTTGAGAGTTCCATGGTCTGCAAGAAGATCAAACCTATCCATTCTGAAGGAAATCAGCCCTGAGTGCTCACTGGAAGGACAGATCCTGAAGCTGAGGCTCCAATACTTTGGCCACCTCATGAGAAGAGAAGACTCTCTGGAAAAGACCCTGATGTTGGGAAAGATGGAGGGCACAAGGAGAAGGGGACGACAGAGGACAAGATGGTGGGACAGTGTTCTCAAAGCTACTAAAATGAGTTTGACCAAACTGCGGGAGGCAGTGGAAGACAGGAGTGCCTGGCGTGCTCTGGTCCAGGGGGTCACGAAGACTCGGACACGACTAAACAACAACAGCTAGCGCAAGTTAGGAAGGATATTAATAAACAATATATCCTCTCCTGCCTCCCTGAACATTCCCACATAGGATCCTAGCTCACCTCCCTCTCTCTGACTGCAGCAACATTTCATCTGTTAACAGAGAAATGAACCAGGACATCCCTTCTGCAGGCAATGTGCATGTTCTTCTTTGTTTATCATTTGCAGGGTTTGCACTTGCCAAGCCTAGCTGTTTTGTCGCTCATTGGCTAAGAGCTCCAAGTGGGTGGTATCACAGGTTTGTTTCTCCAGTGCATGCTGGACTCCCTCCTCCCCCTTCCCAAGGGGTCTCTTCTTCTGTCAGGTGAGCAGCAGTGATAGGTGTACCCATCCACCTGTCTGCCTCCTTCCCTTTTCTCATCTGCTGGCTGCACTCTGCCCACTGCCCTTTCTCAGAGGCTTCTCTCGCAAACACTCCCAACCTCTGCCCCGGTGCTTCTTGTGCAAATCTGAATAAAAAAGGAAGCTCCAAGGGTCACGGAGAAGCAGATGATGGATAGGAGGCAAGCAAGATTGGCTGCCAAGAATTGGGGGGGGGGGGGAGAGAAATCCCATTTTCTTGATGTTTTCATCCCCCAAAGAGTTTTTGATTGAGTTTCCACTGAAAAGAGGCTGCATTTTCATGTTTTAATGTTGTATTTTAATCTTGTTTTTTCAGCTGTATTTCAATCAATTGTTTTTATATTTGGTGTTAGCCGCCCTGAGCCCGATCTTGGCTGGGGAGGGCGGGTAATAATAAAATTTATTATTATTATTATTATTATTATTATTATTATTATAAATTATCAAATGTTTTCAGAGCATCAATAAACATGATAGCATATGCCTGTTTTGAACTGTAAATTAAATGAATTATGTTGATTACTTCCATATATTTGAGGTGTGTTTACAGGTGTTTCTTTTTTAATAATTCCTGTCTGGCCATCGTTAATCTATTTACCAATATCACCTTTATTGCCAATACAGACATCCAGATCTTGAGATCCTGGTTTAATAAAGCAATTGGCTGTAAGATTTTTCCTTAGTGCAGTCTTTATAATTTCTTTTTGTATTACTACCAGTTTGGCTTGTTCCTGTGGGAGATTAGTAGCCAAACCCAACAGTTGCATAGTCTTGCTAGATAGCATGACAAGGGGTTAAGTCCACAGAGCTGTGTTGCTGAAAAGCAGATTCGTAGACCATAGAAATACAATTGGTAGAGAGGGCTCTGTGTGATGTCATTTCCCTTCCTCTCCTAGCAATGGTGCCCACCTGAGAGGTGCTGGAACTAAGTTCCGGCAGGTTCCAGCTGAAAAAAGCCCTGATGATAGCTATATTCCAGAGTAAGCCGTAGCTAGCACTGAGTGTAAAATTTTGGGCTGTTTTCCATTGAGTTGCAATTGCTATTCCTGCTGCCAGTATTATATATAAGACCAATTCTTTTACATTGGTATCATTAAAAAAATTAAGTAACATTAATTTGGGACACCAAACCATATTTTCTTTAGTAATATTTATCACTTCTGTCGAAATTAAATCCCAAAAATCTTTCACCAACTGACTTTTGCACTATAAAATGAGAATATGCACCTAGTTTATTGCAACCCCTCCTACAATTCGGTGCTATAGAAGAAAACATTTTTGACATTTGCAAAGGAGTGTGGACAGAAAATGCCTTCCGCCTGTTTTCTCATTGAAACGCCATCTCCTCTAGAAGCAATGACTAGCATCTTTCATATGTAATTGCTTCCAAAATGCAGAGCATTGGTTCTGTAATTGAGGAGCCAACCACAGCAGCACCTTTATACCTGGATTCCATGAGGCTTTGTTGTGTCACCAGGAGAGCTGAACAACCTCTCCCTGTTGAGGAAAGTGATTAATACCCCCTTTCCAGCTTTCAATTAATCCTTTCAATGCTAGTGGAAAATGCGTGTGTCACAATCACCATTTAATTTCATTCACCTAACCACCTCTGCATATCTTCTTTCATAAAGACTCCCATCTAAAAACTGAGCTATGTTATGTGGCTCAATAGTAAGCAGCAGAAAATAAGAATTAAAGCACTGTGGGCATAAAAGTGCATTACTCGTAGTTATTAATGGCAACAAAGGTCCATATAGTAAAAGCTATGGTTTTCCCAGTAGTGATGTATGGAAGTGAGAGCTGGACTATAAAGAAGGCTGATCGCTGAAGAATTGATGCTTTTGAATTATGGTGCTGGAGGAGACTCTTGAGAGTCCCATGGATTGCAAGAAGATCAAACCTCTCCATTCTGAAGGAAATCAGCCCTGAGTGCTCACTGGAAGGACAGATCCTGAAGCTGAGGCTCTAAGACTTTGGCCACCTCATGAGAAGAGAAGACTCCCTGGAAAAGACCCTGATGTTGAGAAAGATGGAGGGTGCAAGGAGAAGGGGACGACAGAGGACGAGATGGTTGGATAGTGTTCTCAAAGCTACCAGCATGAGTTTGACCAAACTGCAGGAAGCAGTGGAAGTCAGGAGTGCCTGGCGTGCTCTGGTCCAGGGGGTCACGAAGAGTCGGACACGACTAAATGACTAAACAACAACAACAACATTAATGGCAAAGGCATTTTTACGTGCATATTTATTTGCGGGCCTCAGGGCTTTGTTGTACGCATGGTGCTCCCTACCACAAATGCATGTTTAAAACATGTTCCCCTCATTGTTATGGAGGCAGCATGCCACTTTCTGGAAATAATATGAATCGTGAGCTTTGGAGAAGTATGCCTATATTAAGGCTGAGCCAAAACGCCTCTTGCGCTTTGGAAATGGTGTTCCTAATCATGCACTCAGAGTGTTCTGAGACACAGCTGAGAAATGCACAAAGCTTCTTTTGAGTTTCTTGCAACTGCTTCTTACATGCCCTTCAACACACCTTCAACAGACCCTTTTATTTCACTTACCACACCTAATGATCAGAAGGCAGTTTTCTGGCACCGGCAAATGCGAGCATACAATTCCACCATTTATTAAAACTTGTATGCCTCCAGCGACCACCTAAACATTTGTAGGATGCTATTATGATAGAGGAAAATGTGAATGACTTGTTGTCTTGTTCAGGACTCTCTTCCCCCTACCCAAAGAACATAATGACAACTCTTTCTTGTTGGAGTTCTCAGTCTCTGAGGGTTTCTCAGCCTCTGACGTGATAGCAGCGAGAGACATTTAATGAATACGCTTTGCTTGATAACGGTATGGCGAGGCTTCCATGTGTAGGAGTCCAGAAGATACCACACCCACAGGCATGTAGAACTCTCTAACAGCAACAATGCAACAAGCAAGTTATTACAGAACAGTAGACCCTCTTCAGTAATATGTCTACATCTGTAACTGTAAAAGGTAAAGGTAAAGGGACCCCTGACCATTAGGTCCAGTCGTGACCGACTCTGGGGTTGTGGCACTCATCTTGCTTTATTGGCCGAGGGAGCCGGAGTACAGCTTCCGGGTCTTGTAGCCAGCATGACTAAGCCGCTTCTGGCGAACCAGAGCAGCGCACAGAAACGCCGTTTACCTTCCCGCCGGAGCAGTACCTATTTATCAACTTGCACTTTGACGTGCTTTCGAACTGCTAGGTTGGCAGGAGCTGGGACAGAGCAACGGGAGCTCACCCCGTCGCGGGGATTTGAACCACCGACCTTCTGATCGGCAAGCCCTAGGCTCTGTGGTTTAACCCACAGCGCCACCCGCGTCCCTATCTGTAACTGTAGCTTTAAGTATTAAATGGCAGGTATAACAAGGGTTCCACCAGGGAACAAGATGCCGATCATGACAGTGGGAGGGGACTGTGGCTCAGTAATGAAGCTGGTGCTTTGCTTGATGAGATCCTGGCATCTTCATTTAAGATTCTATGATAGCAAGTGATGGGGCAAGACCTCCCTCCGAGACTTGGGAGGACTGGGCTGGATGGATCAGTAGCAGTAACTTTGCATTTCTACTCTTCTACTTATATTCCTTTACAGGCCCGTCTTAACCATAGATGCTAGTGACGCGGGGCACCAGGGTGTCAAGTTCTGGAGGGCATCATGCGGGAGTCCGGGAACACTGAACGAGCGCGCTGAGTGAGTGAGGGTGTGTGCACCACCCCTGCTGAACATCCGCTTGGTTTTTTCCCTTTTAGCCTGCAGGCGCCAAATTCTATGGGGCGGCAAAGAAGAAGAAACTGCAGCGGATGCAGAATGCTGCAGCGAGGCTCCTCACGGGGTCTCTGCCATGGGAGCATATTCACCCAGTGCTTTTCCAGCTGCACTGGCTCCCGGTAGAGTACAGGGTCAGAATTAAGGTACTGGTTTTGACCTTTAAAGCCCTTCACAGCCTAGGACCCTCGTACCTACGGGACTGCCTCTCCCAGGGACTGCCCCACGGAGGACCTTTGTTGTTGTTGTTGTTTAGTCGTTTAGTCGTGTCCGACTCTTCGTGACCCCCTGGACCAGAGCACGCCAGGCACTCCTATCTTCCACTGCCTCCCGCAGTTTGGTCAAACTCATGCTGGTAGCTTCGAGAACACTATCCAACCATCTCGTCCTCTGTCGTCCCTTTCTCCTTGTGCCCTCCATCTTTCCCAACATCAGGGTCTTTTCCAGGGAGTCTTCTCTTCTCATGAGGTGGCCAAAGTCTTGGAGCCTCAGCTTCAGGATCTGTCCTTCCAGTGAGCACTCAGGGCTGATTTCCTTCAGAATGGATAGGTTTGATCTTCTTGCAGTCCATGGGACTCTCAAGAGTCTCCTCCAGCACCATAATATATATATATATTATATATATTATGTATAGCATATATAGCAACACCCTAGAGGTCCTGGGCCCTAAGGAAGTTAGATTAGCCTCAACCAGAGACAGGGCCTTCTCAACACTGGCTCTGGCCTGGTGGAATGCTCTGTCTCATGAGACCAGGGCCCTGCGGGATCTGATCTCTTTCCGCAGGGCCTGTAAGACAGAGTTGTTCCACCTGGCCTTTGGCTTAGAATCAGTTTGATTCCCTCTCCCTCTTTCTTTTTCCTTTCTCCTCCTATGAAGAGATTGCACCCTAATGTTTTAATGTTGCATCTTAATCTTTTAAATTGTATTTTAGTCTACTTGTTTTTATTATTGGTTGTTAGCCGCCCTGAGCCCGGTCTTGGCTGGGGAGGGTGGGGTATAAATAAAAAAATTATTATTATTAAAAGGGGGAAAAACCGAGCTGACGCTCGGAGGGAGCGGCGCACGCGCTCTTGCTCACGTGGCGTAGGTCCGCTCGCTCGGTGTGCTGCCTGCTGTGGCCACCACGGCATGAAGCCGCTAGCTGAGCAGGGAAGCACCACGACCAGCTTCCACCTCTTCCCCACTGGAGAAGCCACCCTCCAGCTGCTGCCCGCCTCCTCCAGCCCTAAAAAAAGGTTGACAACTCTTTGGAGGGGGGGCACCAGAGGTGCCAGATATGCTTAAGACGGCCCTGTCCCTATATCTCCATCTTAACCAAAGGGATCTTCCCATCTCCACAAACAGATGCCCTCCTCCCAGCCCATTTAGTAAGTAAACTGAAATATACTCGGAGTCGAGAGTGGATTTTATGCTCTTTACTCAGCTCATAGTGGTGAGGAGGAATGGAAGTTCCCCCACAATATCTGCTTTATATACATTATTTACACAATGGGTCGCACGTGATTGGCTAATTCCAGGATTCTCCTGCAGGCTAATCAGGTTGTGGATTCACTTCCACCTGGAGCTGGATTGGCTGGCTCCTGTGGACCAATCATACTGCTGCATTGTTCTAGGACCAATCAGACTGCTGCATTTTGGATCCTATTGTTCTAGGACCAATCAGACTGCTGCATTTTGGATCCTGTTCAACTCAGTACATAACATAAACACTCAAATGAAAGTGTCATGATTTTCTTAACATATTGTTCTAAGACTGGGGTTTTGACAGGAGTAAAGTTTTGGGGTCAGAAATACTGCAAATAGTCCCCAGCAAAATTGCCAATAAGCACCATTGTCATTGATACTGCAGACCTCGGCGTGACTTTGTATCTCCAGTTCCACAATGTTCTGACAGGGAATGCACAAAAACGCCCACAGGCACCCTAGGAGAATGTGAGAAACTGCTGAACTTTAATCCCTGCACAATCTTAGATGGCAAGAGGTTGTGACCATTTCAAAAAAAACCCCACCAATCAGGTCCTCAAAGGCTCTGGCACTCAACTTTCCAGGTGCTACCAAACTTTTAATCAGTCCATATGACTTTTCTTCACAACCAGGAAAATGGCGCACTTCTTGGGAGTGTTTCTCTGTATGTTGGGCCTAGTCCTCCTGATCACCATCAAACTCCTTCATAATCGCATAAGCAGCCATTTCCCAGTCATTCACTGTTGCTTACTGGGTGTGAAGAAACCAGGGACACGGGTGTATCCAGTTTGCCTCCTCTGTGCACCAGTAAAATAAAAGAATAATCGATTTGATATCTTGGTTTATTTATTTTTCAATCATTTTTATTGATTTTCCAATAAAAAACATCCAATTAATATATCCAATCATAATACTTCAATTAAAATAAAATTTGCTGCGCCATCCAAGATAACAGATTTGGACAACATCCCGAATTGGAATGGAATCAGAGGAAGCTGAGGTGATAAAAAGACAGTTGGAAAAATATATATTAACAAAGCTGTATTCGATGGATGAAAGTACATGATATTTGACATGAATGAGAATCGTGGACCCAGGGATAAAGAATTATGAAGCGTTAAAATCGAGATGTGGAAAATATGGAAACGACGAGGAGAAGCAGGACTAAGAAGTGGAGAGATGCTTCAGAGATCCAGACTGTGGGGAGCTCCGAAAAATTAATAAATACAATTTGGATTATAATTTGATCTTTTTTATTTTAGTTTTTTATTTTGATTTCTTGGTTTATTTTTTAAACAGTTCTCAGTCTGTCATCATACAACCACTCTTGAACAGCACCAGATTGGTAACACCAACTTATAAAATCTATATTTCATTTAGAAAGTACAACGAAGGGTGTCTTAGATGGTATTTGAAGTGTAAAGGCACATATTTAGTACAACAAATTATTATTATTATTAGCCAAGCTACAGGGAACGAGCCAGAGGGCCTTTTCGGTAGTGGCGCCCGCCCTGTGGAACACTCTCCCACCAGATGTCAAAGAGAAGAACAACTACCAGACTTTTAGAAGACATCTGAAGGCAGCCCTGTTTAGGGAAGCTTTTAATGTTTGATGTATTACAGTATTTTAATATTTTTTTGGAAGCCGCTCAGAGTGGCTGGGGAAGCCCAGCCAGATGGGCGGGGTATAAATAATAAATTATTATTATTATTATAACAGCTCAGACAAAGGGGCAAAAGAAGAACGCAATTCTCTCGCCAAACCTTTCTGAAATGGGTTTGAGACCGTATACAGCGCCACAACCCCAGAGTCGTCCGTGACTGGACTTAACGGTTAGGGGTCCCTTTACCTTTACCTTTTATAGTTACTCTGCATCCAGTGTGCTCCCAGTGCTGGTTTGCAAAGCTGTGTACACGATACAATCCGCAATCCATATCTATCCAGTAACAATTCTGTCATTTCTTAGGAAAGACTGTGTTTTAATAATAATAATAATAATAATAATAATAATAATAATAATAATAATAATAATAATTTATTATTTATACCCTGCCCATCTGGCTGAATTTCCCCAGCCACTCTGGGCGGCTTCCACAAAGACCAAAAATACAGTAATATATCATACATTAAAAACTTCCCTGAACAGGGCTGCCTTAAGATGTCTTCTGAATGTCAGGTAGTTGTTTATCTCTTTGACATCTGATGGGAGGGCGTTCCACACGGCGGGCGCCACTACCGAGAAGGCCCTCTGCCTGGTTCCCTGTAGCTTTGCTTCTCGCAGTGAGGGAACCGCCAGAAGGCCCTCAGCACTGGTCCTCAGCGTCCGGGCAGAACAATGGGGGTGGAGACGCTCCTTCAGGTATACTGGACCGAGGCCATTTAGGGCTTTAAAGGTCAACACCAACACTTTGAATTGTGCTCGGAAACGTACTGGGAGCCAATGTAGGCCTTTCAAGACCAGTGTTATGTGGTCTTGGCGGCCGCCCCCAGTCACCAGTCTAGCTGCCACATTCTGGATTAGTTGTAGTTTCCGGGTCACCTTCAAAGGTAGCCCCACGTAGAGCGCATTGCAGTAGTCCAAGCGGGAGATTACTAGAGCATGCACCACTCTGGCAAGACAGTCTGCGGGCAGGTAGGGTCTCAGTCTGTGGACCAGATGGAGCTGGTAGACAGCTGCCCTGGATACAGAATTGACCTGCGCCTCCATGGACAGCTGTGAGTCCAAAATGATGTGCTTCCCCCCAGAACCACCTTCAATATGAAGTAAGAAAAGGAACGACCTAGCTGTGTTTTAAGCTGTTCATGTGTACACAGCCTTTGACACAAATGTTTCCAGAATCTAATATTTCAAGCAGTATGTTGTTAACTGGAGGAGCCTTGTTTGAGCGGCGATTTTACCTTCCTACCTTACTGGAGGCTTGCCTTATCCTCTTTGCCGAGGCTGTCTGCTGTCAGACACACTGACTCCACTTAATAAACTCACTTAAAGCAGAGCTTTCTTAAGTAACAGAGTAAGTACATCAATTAGTTGCTTCAGCATAAAGACAAACATACATCTCCTCCATCACTTTCTCTGGCTCACCTAGTCAACAACAAGGAAGCCAAGTCAGTAATTAGTTGGGAAACAAAGAGTCCATTGCTGACCTTGTCTTAAGGCCAGAAACACTGAGGCTCACTATAGCTGTAGCTCCAAACGACTGCACTGAGCGCAAGTATGCTCTTCACAAGTAATAACAGTCATAAACAGCTACTTATGAACAATTTGGAGCATTATTTTAGGAGATTTCCTTTTCACATTTGCACCCAGGCCTGAGAGGACCCGTGCTCACTTCACTCGTCATTCTTGAGCAGGGGCCGGCAACCTAAGGCCATGGGCCACAAGCGGCCCATGGGGGCCGTTTAACTGGCCCACGAGTCGCCCCCGAACTGAGTCGCCCACTCGCGCGCTGCGCTAAACCGGCACAGCACAGCGCGGGGACTCGCTTCCACGGTGCTGGAAATTGTGCCTGCGCAGACGCAGATGCCAGAAATCGTGTCTGCGTAGACGAGACGCTGGAAATCGCAGGCGCTTGCGCGCGCAATCCAGCCCACAGAGGGATCTCTGCTGGAGTGAACTGGCCCAGGTGAGGTAAACCTTGCCGTTCTTGAGAAGGACACGTCACGCACCCCTCTTCAAGTGTGAATGAAGTGGAATTAGACAAATGGTTTTTTCAAAAACTGGGAAGCATGTAGACATGTGCTTCATAGGCAGGCAAAAGAACTACATGAGTAAAATGCCTGGATTTTGGTCAGTATCATCCAGGATGTCAGTGGCAGCAGAGCAAAGTTCCCCTTTTATTAAACTGAATGTGCACATCTCCCTATTTCATGCGCAGAAAAAAGGGGCAGTGCGCTCTTCTTGCCTGTCTCCTCCTTGTAAGAGATGACATCCTAAGCCAGAGGATTTTGAGTCCATAGCTCCCTTGATCAGCTCCCTTCTTTCTGCCAGTCCCCTCTCTCATTATAGTATATGGAGGTGGCTGTTATTTTGTCTGCCGGGATGAAATATACTTGGAGTTGAGTGTGGATTTCATGCTCTTTATTCAGCTCATAGTAGTGAGGAATGAAAGTTCCCCCAAAATATCTGCTTTATATACATTATTTACACAATGGGTCGCACGTGATTGGCTTCTCCTATAGGCCAATCAGGTTGTGGATTCACTTCCACCTGGAGCTGGATTGGGTGGCTCCTGCGGACCAATCATACTGCTGCATTGTTCTAGGACCAATCAGACTGCTGCATTCTGGACCCTATTGTTCTAGGACCAATCAGACTGCTGCATTCTGGACCCTATTGTTCTAGGACCAATCAGACTGCTGCTTTTTGGATCCTATTCAACTCAGTACATAACACGGGCGGGGGATGCATTTGTTTTAAAACTGAGGACTAGACTAATGCCTTCACCCCATTTTGCACACATGGCTTTTATTATCTCTGGAATTGCAAATATGGTTTTTCTTTTATTAGTGGAGGTGGATATCTCCCTCCCTGAGCCCTGCTGGTAAAGTGAATCATCATAATCCATGGCCTTGGCAGGCAGATTAGTTGCATGTAGCTTCTTTTCAGAGTGGAACAGTTGCTCTGTGTACCTGCTTGGGCTTGTATTTTGGTTTCAGATATTGTGAAATCGCCTTAAACCCTGAGAGGGCCTGACTTAGGCACCCTCCCAAACCAGCACGATAAATAAGTGAGGGGCGAATCCTTTTGCAGGACATGCCTCTCTTCTTGCATGCTTTTTCCAAACAAGAGGACTCACTCAACCACCCTTCCTCTTTGAAGAACGCCTAATGCCCCAGAAAATACTCTAGTCAAGATGTAAAAGTATTTTTGTATGCCACAACTGCAGCACGGATTTTAATAGCCCCAAAATGGAAAACACAAGAATTACCAACAGTAGAAGAATGGCAGATGAAGATGATGGATTTTATGGAGCTGGCTGATCTCACTGGGAGAATCTGCGACCAGAAAGAAGAGGAATATCAAGAAGAGTGGAAGGAATTTAAAGACTATTTGAATAAATATTCTTATATTAAAGATTTGTAATTACTTGAAAGAACCAATTAGGCCTAGGATTATATTAGGATTAAATAAATAAATGAGAACTAGAATGATAAGAAAATATAGGAAATTTGATTATAACCTGAATATTGTCTTTTTTAAAGGGAATAATGATATTGGAAACTGCTATATCCAATTACAACGAAATTCAGATGGAAGAAATTTGAAGAAGTCAAGTAATATGTTTATGAAGTTGGAGTTTAACTGATTAATTAAGTTTTATTGTATTTGTGTATGTGGTGTTATTTTTGGGTAATATATGAGAGGTTTGTAATATGTGATCTCTTTTTCTTTTCTTTTATTATTGTTTTTTTAATTTTTCTGTGTTTGTATGAAATTCAATAAATATTATTGGGGGGGGGGGAGAAAATACTTTAGCCAAGAGCTTCAACAAGAACAGTTTCATAGTTCAAGCATCACTCTCAATACCGGGGGGGGGGGGGGTTGGCTTCCTACCCTTCCTTTCCCCTTTAAAAAACTTATTTTTTCTTCTGTATTTGCGGGTCGGCTGGATGCACTGCAAAGTGAGATTCTGCAGACCCTCTAAGTGTCCTTATTTTCCAGGAACAGGTCCAGATTTACAGAAGCCATCCCAGTTTCTGATTTGATCCTGGAATGCCTCACTTTCCCTTAAGAAGTCCCTATTTTCATTGGAGAAATGTTGGCAGGTCTAATAATAATAAGAATAATAATACATTATTTATACCCCGCCCTCCCCAGCCAAGACCACGCTCAGGGCGGCTAACACCAGGTATAAAAACAATTGATTAAAATACAACTTAAAAACAAGATTAAAATGCAGCCTCATTTCAGTAGAAACTCCAATCAAAAACTTTTGGGGGATGAAAACGTCAAATCTTCACCAAGGCCAGCTATCCAGACTGGTCCTATGTGGGCCAGAAAAAAGCCAGGGAAGTCCCCAAATACGAGTTCCATCACAGAAGGAGAAAGGAGAAAGGAAAGAGAGGAAGGGAGGGGATCAAGTTGATTCCAAGCCAAAGGCCAGGTGGAACAACTCTGTCTTACAGGACCTGTAATATAGAGTTATGCATATGTGGTGGACCTGTCCCAAGGTGAAAGACTTCTGGGAAAAGATTTATAATGAATTGAAAAAAAAATGTTGAAATATACATTTATAAAGAAACCAGAGGCCTTTCTTCTTGGAATAACAGGTTTGGAATTGCCCAAGAAAGATGTTAAATTATTTTTGTATGTCACAACTGCTGCTCGTATATTGTTAGCTAAAAAGTGGAAAACCCAAGAATTACCAACGATAGAAGAATGGCAGATGAAGATGATGGAATTTTCGGAGCTAGCCAACCTAACCAGAAAAGTCCGCGACCAGAAGGAGGAGGAGTATCAGGAGAGTGGAACAAATGTAATGATTATCTAGTTAAATTTATTAAGTTAAATTAACTGAAAACAGCTTGCAGATACTTAATTGGCTTAGGATTTTATTTATGTTAAGTGATGAATTAATATTTCATTTCACATTTCATAATGTGAAGATTTAAGCATGTTAATGTTTAAGTTAAATTTTATAAGAACTGTGATTTGGAAAACCGTTAAAAGGATATGCAATGAAATTCAACCAAGGGGAAGCGAGGAAGTCACTTAAGAAAGTTAATAAGTGTAATTTTCAATAAGGCTATGATTTATGTTTGTTTGTCTTATATGTTTGTTTGTTTATAATGTTGTGAAAACCAATAAAAATTTTTTTTTTTAAAAAAGGAATATAGAGTTATGCAACCCCTGAGTCAAGGAGATAAGTTAACTATTCAACTTTTAGAAGACATCTGAAGGCAGCCCTGTGTAGGGAAGGCTTTTTTATGCTTCATATTTTATTACGTTTTTGTATATGTTGGAAGCCGCCCAGAGTGTCTGGGGCATCCCAGTCAGATGGGCAGGGTGCAAATAATAAAATTATTGTTATTATTGTTATTCTTACTACTACTACTATTAATATTACGGAACAAAACGTCCCAATTTTCATTAGAGAAATGTTGGAGGGTATGAGTTCTGGTGAGACTCCAACCACCCACCATCTTAATTTGCCATATAAATTAGTATGTGCACATTTTATGCAAATTTGTGTCATGAGCCTAAACCCTGAATCTGCAGCATTGATGCAACCAATTGTATTTTTAAATATACAGTATTACTGCCTCTCCTGGTATGCCCCGCAGAGGACCTTAAGGTCCATGAATAATCATAGTTTAGAGGTCCTGGGCCCTAAGGAAGTCAGATTATCCTCCACCAGGGCCAGGGCCTTCTCAGTGGTGGCTCCAACCTGGTGGAATGCTCTGTCCCATGAGACCAGGGCCCTGCAGGATTTAACTTCCTTCCGCAGGGCCTGTAAGACAGAGCTATTCCGCCTGGCTTTCAATTTGAACTTAGCCTGATCTTTTATTCCACTTCCTTCCCTCCCCCTCCCCTTTTGATGAAGATTACCCGCTCTGGGATCCCACAGCTAATTCTCCCCTGGTCTCCTCGCTGGCCCAATTTAGCCAGCTAGCCCTGGTGATCATCTAATGTTTATTGGATGGATTTCCCCCTTAGATTGATTTTTGATTTTTCAATTTATTTTTATTCACATTTTATACTGCATTTTATGCTGTTTTTGTTGCATCAATTAAGTGTTTTAAATTTAAAATGTAAAAACTGCCCTGAGCCCGGTTTTCTGAACCTGGAAGGGTGGGGTATAAATAATAATAATAATAATAATTATTATTATTATTATTATTATTATTATTATTATTTCTGCATCTGGATTACCCTGTTAGAGATTTTACCACCCAAAAAATGTGTTAGTTCTTAAGGTGCCACAAGACTCTTTGGGGTTTTTTTGAGGTGAGGTGGGGGGATAGCTACTCCTCTGAAGCTTGTTAAAACAGTTTTTGTAACTCTAGGGAAGGCAACAATGGTCAGTTGGGATTGGGAAAACCTTGGGGCTTTTCTTCTCTGCCTGCAATTTTTAATGCCCTCCCCCAATTTCTTTTCCTTTTTCACTGGCTAATTTTGAGCTTCATATGATCACTGCAAATGGTGACAGCAGCCATGAAATTAAAAGACGCCTGCTTCTTGGGAGAAAAGCAATGACAAACCTAGACAGCATCTTAAAAAGCAGAGACATCACCTTGCCAACAAAGGCCCGTATAGTTAAAGCTATGGTTTTCCCAGTAGTGATGTATGGAAGTGAGAGCTGGACCATAAAGAAGGCTGATCGCTGAAGAATTTGTGCTTTTGAATTATGGTGCTGGAGGAGACTCTTGAGAGTCCCATGGACTGCAAGAAGATCAAACCTATCCATTCTGAAGGAAATCAGCCCTGAGTGGTCACTGGAAGGACAGATCCTGAAGCTGAGGCTCCAATACTTTGGCCACCTCATGAGAAGAGAAGACTCCCTGGAAAAGACCCTGATGTTGGGAAAGATGGAGGGCACAAGGAGAAGGGGACGACAGAGGACAAGATGGTTGGATAGTGTTCTTGAAGCTACCAGCATGAGTCTGACCAAACTGCGGGAGGCAGTGGAAGACAGGAGTGCCTGGCGTGCTCTGGTCCAGGGGGTCATGAAGAGTCGGACACGACTAAACGACTAAACAACAACAACATGTTGGGACAAACTCAACAAGGCTTACTTTCCCCATTCAGTTCTTCGGATTGAACTGGCCTGAAAGCATGGATGAACAACTTGGACTCCCCCTGTCGTCGCCGTCGCGCCCCCCTTGGCACTCCATGCCGCAAACAGTTGAATGTTCATTTACAGTAGATGCTCTGTCTTAGTCTTAATTTGCTTTTAAGCAGCTTCTTCAAATAGCACAGTCATTATTCTCTTAGGTGCTTTACAAAAACACGATCAATTAGCTGGGCTCCCCTGTGGATTTTCTCAGGGTTTTTAATTTTTTTTTAAAAAAAACAAACAAAAAGCACTCAGCCTTTTAGGGAGGCTTTGACATCTGCAAGAGCTCGATGCTTCGGAGAGAGGAAAAAACCCCACGGAACAAAATATGGAACACTGGAAATCAAATCATTTTCTGGTTAGGACAGCCAGGCCCATTGTCCGTATGGGTGGGCTCTTAGCACCTGCAGGCGAAACTGGCAGCCCTGCCCAGATGAAGGACCATTCAGAAGACTGACGTTATGTTCCTCTCGGACAAAACTAGGTTTGTTTGAAAATCTGCCCTCAGACACAGAGTTTGTCTCCTTGCTTATACTTTTCAAACGGGATGCAGTCATTGGTTCATTGTTTGCACCAAATTTGCTTGCCGCTCCATAAAGAAGCCACAGATTTGCTGGGCTGCTCTTTTCTTCCCGAATGGCCCATGGCCAGTACAGTGGTACCTCAGGTTACATACGCTTCAGGTTACATATGCTTCAGGCTACAGACTCCGCTAACCCAGAAATAGTACCTCGGGTTAAGAACTTTGCTTCAGGATGAGAACAGAAACCGCGCTCCAGTGGCGCGGCGGCAGCGGAAGGCCCCATTAGCTAAAGTGGTGCTTCAGGTTAAGAACAGTTTCAGGTTAAGAACAGACCTCCAGAACGAATTAAGTTCTTAACCCAAGGTACCACTGTATTACTCTCGAGGTTTCATAAACAGAAGAGGGAAAGGCAGGCACAGATCCTCACACGTGTGTTTCAGGGGTTGAGAAAAGCCACAATAGTCGTCAATGTTCAACAGGAGCTAAGGAGGGATGGCTTTAACGGCTTGGAAAAAGTAGGGAACTCTCGTCTCTACAATCTGCCCAGCACTGCAAAGCAAGAGGTCTCCCAGACTCTAAAATGGGTCAGCAAACTTTTTCAGAAGGGGGCCGGACTATATTTTGGGAAAAAAGAAAAGAACAAATTCCTATGCCCCACAAATAACCCAGAGATGCATTTTAAATAAAAGCACACATTCTACTCATGTAAAAACACACTGATTCCTGGACCATCCGCGGGCTGGATTGAGAAGGTGATTGGGCCCGATCTGACCCCCCGGCCTTAGTTTGCCTACCCATGCTCTAAAACCTCACTGTCTCAGAGCAAAATTGTTGTCATTCACTACTGGTCTGTTTCCAGGTGCAATTCAAAGTGCTGGTTATGACTGATAAAGCCCCATGCAGTCCAAGCTATCTGAAAGGCCACCTTCTTTCATATGAACCTTCCTGGGTGGTGAGATCTTTGGGTGATGCCCTTCTCTTGGTCATGCCACCTTGGTGAGGATGTTAGAGAGGGCTATCTCAGTGGTGGCTGCTTCCAGACAACTTCAGAACTCCCTCCCTGGAGAATTTAAGCTACCGTATTTTTCGCTCTATAAGACGCACCCGACCATAAGACGCACCTAATTTTAGAGGAGAACAACAACAAAAATATTCTCTCCCTCTCCGTGTAGAGCCTCTCCAGCAAAGCGGCAGGAGAAACGGAGCCCCTTCCATATCTCCTCCCGCTTCGCTGAAGGGGCGCTGCGCAGCTCTCCCTCTCTGCGCAGCGCCTCCCCAGCAAAGTGGGAGGAGAAATGGAAGGGGCTCCGTTTCTCCTGCTGCTTCACTGAAGGGGCGATGCACAGAGAGGGAAAGCTGCGCAGTGCCTCTCCAGCGAAGCGAAGTCAGAACAGCAAGAGGGATCGCTGCGCAGCGAAAGCACTGATCCCTCTCGCTCTCCTGGCTTCAGGGATAGCTGCGCAAAGCCTCTTCAGGGCAGGGGGAGCGTTCCTGGCTTCAGGGATAGCCGCGCAGCCTGCATTTGCTCCATAAGACGCACACACATTTCCCCTTACTTTTTAGGAGGGGACAAGTGCGTCTTATAGAGCGAAAAATACGGTAGTTCTCTCCTTGAGTATCTGTCAGGATATAAAGGCAGGATATAAATTAACAATAACAAAAATAGTGTCAGCATATTGTGCCCACTTAAACACACTGGGCAAAGTGTTGCTGGTAGTGTTTCTTCTAGGAACTGAAATGGTGTGCTTGTTTTAATTTTGGGGTGAGATACCTCATCTTTGACAAATGTGAGCTCAGGCAAACGAGGGCATTCAGAGAATTCAGGAGTAGGTGTATTTGTGTCTGTACAGACTTCCTCAGCTGCAGAGGAGGGTCTGGATCTCAAACAGAATCGTCCTTATTCTATTTTGGAGAAGCAGTTGCGAAGTTGCTCCAGTCACATAAACTTGGGCTCTTTTACCTCCATTCATTTCTTTTGAGGTTCTTAGCAGTAAGAAAATGGGGTGAGATACTAATCGAAATGTATTTTACATGCAAAATTTCTCATGAACTGCGTAACACCGTGTGGGTGTAACTTAAGTAATGTCAATGTGTTAGCATGTGTGTCATTTAAACCTCTTTTTAAGACTGCCATATTTTCTTCTTGAGAATTTAATAATTATTACAGGATCGGTCCTATGCACAAGAAACTGGCTTAAAGCAAGCTGGTGTAAGAGGACACCAAATCCAAACTCTCTTCAACAGCCGGGTCACTGCTCTTCCTAAGCTAGGTCCTGTGAGGGACCCCCTCTCTTGTTCTGCCAATGCCACACCCAAAGAACACCCTCTTTCAAATTCCTTATCTAACTCATGGAATGGGAGAATATCTACTCCACTCTTCCAAAATTTTCAAATTAGAGTTGGGGACGCGGGTGGTGCTGTGGTCTAAACCACTGAGCCTCTTGTGCTTGCCAATTGGAAGGTCAGTGGTTCGAATTCCTACGATGGAGTGAGCTCCCGTTGCTCTGCCCCAGCTCCTGCTGGTGTTCTGTTGTGCCAGAAGTGGTTTAGTCCTGCTGGCCACATGACCCAGGAAACTGTCTGTGGACAAACGCTGGCTCCTTCGGCCTGAAAGCAAGATCATAGAATCATAGAATCATAGAGTTGGAAGAGACCACAAGGGCCATCGAGTCCAACCCCCTGCCAAGCAGGAAACACCATCAGAGCACTCCTGACATATGGTTGTCAAGCCTCTGCTTAAAGATGAGCGCCGCAACCTCATAGTTGCCTTTGACTGGACTTAACTGTCCAGAGGTCCTTTACCTTTTTACCTTTGTGACCTCCTCTCTGATACGAAATCTGGGGAAGTCAGGAAACAGAACAGATAAAGGCATAACTTCAGTAGTAAGATTCCATGACCTTTGGTTAAATTTGGGTCAGAATCAAGGATACATATAGGAGAAAATAGGTGCAAGATTTGGATCAGAGAAGTACCAGGGAACTAGGGAGGGGGGACTTGTAATTGTGTTTCTTATAAATGAAATTCTTATGATGGTTTTTAACATGTTTAAAAGGTTGGCAGATAGATACGTTTGTGTACAGATGGAGATAAAATCTGATTATTATCCTGTTGCTGGATAGACATTCCCCGCATATAAATAAATGCATTGGAACTTCAGAAAGAAGTTTGTACAATAAATTCAGCATATGCGCATGTATGCATAACTACCTTTCTGTGTGTGTCAGGTGTCAATTTTGCTCCAATTTATTTTGCAGATTGAATGGCTGGCCTTTGTAGAACAAATCTGACGTGTGCAGAACAAGGAGCGTTAACAAAAAGTTGCAAAAACAACAACCCAAAACCATAATGAAATAATGAATGCTGCGAAGAAGGGGAAGGGTGAAGCATATGGTCAGAGTTCATAGGAAAGGGTTGCCACATTTTTAATTTTTTTTTTACAGCATGAGATTTCAAGGTCTACAAAGCATGTATTTCCACTCCTGTCAGTGCAATAACACTCTCCCTTCGTGGGGTTTCAAGCAAATGGTATTCAGAAACATACTGCCCCCAACAGTAAAGGCAGAGGAAAGTGATCATAGCTTGTAATCACTGAAAGCCTTATCCTCAGCGAATTTATCCAAAGTTAGAGGTGATCCATGCTCCCGGCGGGAACAAACACCGGGGTTTCATCATCATCATCATCATCATCATCATTTATTTATACCCCGCCCATTTGGCTGAGTTTCCCCTGCCACTCTGGGCAGCTTCCAATCAAGTGTTAAAAACAATACAGCATTAAATATTAAAAACTTCCCTGAACAGGGCTGCCTTCAGATGTCTTTTAAAGAGAAGATAGCTGCTTATTTCCTTCACATCTGAAGGGAGGGCGTTCCACAGGGCGGGCGCCACCACCAAGAAGGCCCTCTGCCTGGTTCCCTGTAACCTCACTTTTCGCAGTGAGGGAACTGCCAGAAGGCCCTCGGCGCTGGATCTCAGTGTCCGGGCTGAATGATGGGGGTGGAGACTCTCCTTCAGAAATACAGGACCGAGGCCATTTAGGGCTTTAAAGGTCAGCACCAAAACTTTGAATTGTGCTCGGAAACGTACTAGGAGCCAATGCAGATCTCTCAGGACCGGTTTTATGTGGTCTCAGCGGCCACTCCCAGTCACCAGTCTAGCTGCCGCATTCTGGATTAATTGCAGTTTCCGGGTCGCCTTCAAAGGTAGCTCCACGTAGTCAAAGCGGGAGATAACCAGAGCATGCACCACTCCGGCGAGACAGTCTGCAGGCAGGTGGGTCTCAGCTTGCGTACCAGGTGGAGCTGGTAAACAGCCCCCCTGGATACAGAATTAACCTGCGCCTCCATGGACACCTGTGAGTCTAAAATGACTCCCAGGCTGCGCACCTGGTCCTTCAGGGACTATGTGCTTTGTGAAGAAGTGCATTCTTTTATCTGTTCCGAATCTTCAAAAATTCAGCTTCACTGGATGCCCTCAAGTGTTAGGAACACGATCGCCAAGTGTCCCTATTTTCCAGGGACAGTCCTGAATTTACGAAAGCTGTCCCAGTTTCTGATTTGATCCCGGAATGTCCCACTCTTCCTTAGGACGTCCCTATTTTCATCAGAGAAATGTTGGGGGGTATGGAGTTATGCGACCCTCCTCGTCCCGAGCCAAGGTGATAAGTAACTTTATAATGTTTAGAAGACATCTGAAGGCAGCCCTGTCTAGGGAAGTTTTCTAATGTTTTAATTATGTTTTTATATATTCTAGAAGCCTCCCAGAATGGCTGGAGCAACTCAGTCAGATGGGTGGTTGTTGTTATTGTTGTTGAATAAAGGTAAAGGTAAAGGGACCCCTGACCATTAGGTCCAGGAGCGGCCAACTCTGGGGTTGCGGCGCTCATCTCGCTTTATTGGCCGAGGGAGCCGGCGTACAGCTTCCGGGTCATGTGGGCAGCATGACTTAAGCCGCTTCTGGCAAACCTGAGCAGCGCACGGAAACGCTGTTTACCTTCCCGCCGGAGCAGTACCTATTTATCTACTTGCACTTTGATGTGCTTTTGAACTGCTAGGTTGGCAGGAGCAGGGACCGAGCAACGGGAGCTCACCCTGTCGTGGGGATTCGAACTGCTGACCTTCTGCTCGGCAAGTCCTAGGCTCTGTGGTTTAACCCACAGTGCCACCCGTGTCCCGCAACAGAAAGGGGGGATACCATAAAAGGCGACAATATTTACCCAGTACTTTAAGTTAAAAAGAATTCAGTAGCTTTCCATAGAATCATAGAATTGTAGAGTTGGAAGGGACCACAAGGATCATCTATCCCAACCTCTTTATGTCCGATGTAGGACTCAAACCCACCACCCTGAAATTAAGAGTCTCATGCTCCAGCTTTGGATGCTCATGTTTTTAAAACACATTATTTCCTAAGCATTATCTTTCAAATACAAATGTGGGCAACCTTGCCTAACCCTCTCAGTATTATATATATATTAATTGTGTGTGTTTAATGTTTAATTTGTTTTTTCTGGCAAAAGCTTCTTTTGCACGAACCATCAGCTTGTATTTTGAAGCTGCCTAGTCTGTTCGCCACCGTCTCCTTTGCATCAAAGCCAACGCAAATAAAAGACAAATGGTTCAGGGAACAAAACGGTTAGCTAGAATATTCCGTTTCCACTCCTGGAGATTTTTCAGTCCCACGGCAGAATCGCTGCACCTTGACGGGAGCTAAACAGAATGAAGCAATGTCAAAAGGTAGACGGCTGTTTGATAAACCAGTTTGGCTGCACCTCTCCGGTCAATGTCTCCACCTTGCCTGCCTGCTCTTGTTTTGTTGAGATTAGAAGAGGTGAGTTTGTGGGGAGTATCCAGCAAACGAAGCTCTGCTGTTGACTTCTCCCCGCCCAGGACTCCTGTTACTGGCTGCAAAGAGGGAGTATTCCAGAGCTGCATTTCATAGCTGTGAGGTCAGTCGGTTTTCTTGGTAGAGCAAAGACTGAACCTTGAAACAAAAACAGAAGCCGCGAAACTGCTACATAAGCAAACAGTGAGGAATGAGCAAGTCAGCATTCCATCGCAGGGGGATAACCTGAAGCCATTAAGCAAACAAATAAAACAACAGAGAGCAGAAAAGCAGCGTGCTGACCTTGGTTTATATCTTTGCAGTCACTCTCTTCGTTTGTTGAACCGCCGATGGAGCTGGAGAGGCCTATCATATCTCCTCTTTTCCAGGCTAAACATATCCAGCTCCTTCAACCATTCCTCATACGGCTTGCTTTCCAGACCCTTGATCATCTTGGTTGCTCTCCTTTTCAAGAGACTGGTGTCATTGGGATAGGGATGTTTGGATACAATGGCTTTTCAGGTTGGCTGAAATCTGTTGGGGTGCCCAGAATGGAACACAGTATTCCAGGCATGGTCAGACCAAGGCAGAATAGAGCAGTACTATGACTTCCCTTAAGGGACGTGGGTGGCGCTGTGGTCTAAACCACAGAGCCTAGGACTTGCTGATCAGAAGGTCGGCGGTTCAAATCCCCATGACGGGGTGAGCTCCCATTGCTTGGTCCCTGCTCCTGCCAACCTAGCAGATCAAAAGCACGCTCAAAAGTGCAAGTATATAAATAGGTACTGCTCCGGCGGGAAGGTAAACGGCGTTTCCGTGTGCTGCTCTGGTTCGCTGCTCTGTTGAATGGTTTCTTTAAATGTAAAGGTTCATCACTGTTCCACCCGATGTGTATGTCTTTAAGGGGCCAGAGCAAGGGCCAGAGCAAGATAACGAGACCCAGCTTTACAGCTGTGAAACATAGCAGGTGCTGCTGAGTTGTATTGATTAAGCTGTGTTGGCAATTGGGTGTAGTATATAAGGAGCAGCACCTAGCTCTCCCATTACCCTGGGGGATGGGTTGGTGGTTGGGTCATGTTTGTTTGTTAATGTATTTAGTGTAAAAGGAGTTTTTGTTTTTGTAATTAAAACCTTGTTTAAGTTATTTTTGAGTCCCTTTTTAATGCATGGTCTCCCCAGCAAGCTCTCTGCAGCGCTACTATACTGCAAATAGCCAACAGCTTAGTTATGCTGTCCACATCACCTGAAAGCTGTACGCCGGCTCCCTCAGCCAGTAAAGCGAGATGAGCGCCGCAACCCCAGAGTCGTCTGCGACTGAACCTAATGGTCAAGGGTCCCTTTGTTGTTGTTTAGTCATTTAGTCTTGTCCAACTCTTCGTGACCCCATGGACCAGAGCATGCCAGGCACTCCTGTCTTCCACTGCCTCCCGCAGTTTGGTCAAGCTCATGCTGGTAGCTTCGAGAACACTATCCAACCATCTCATCCTCTGTTGTCCCCTTCTCCTTGTGCCCTCCATCTTTCCCAACATCAGGCTCTTTTCCAGGGAGTCTTCTCATGAGGGGGCCAAAGTATTGGAGTCTCAGCTTCAGGATCTGTGAGCACTCAGGGCTGATTTCCTTCAGAATGGATAGGTTTGATCTTCTTGCAGTCCATGGGACTCTCAAGAGTCTCCTCCAGCACCATAATTCAAAAGCATCAATTCAGCCTTCTTTATGAAGAAGAAGAAGAAGAAGAAGAAGAAGAAGAAGAAGAGTTTGGATTTGATATCCCGCCTTTCACTCCCTTTAAGGAGTCTCAAAGCGGCTAACATTCTCCTTTCCCTTCCTCCCCCACAACAAACACTCTGTGAGGTGAGTGGGGCTGAGAGACTTCAAAGAAGTATGACTGGCCCAAGGTCACCCAGCAGCTGCATGTGGAGGAGCGGAGAAGCGAACCCGGTTCCCCAGATTACGAGACTACCGCTCTTAACCACTACACCACACTGGCTCTCGCTCTCACTTCCATACAGCACTACTGGGAAAACCATAGCTTTAACTATATGGACCTTTGTTGGCAAGGTGATGTCTCTGCTTTTTAAGATGCTGTTTAGGTCTGTCCTTGCTTTTCTCCCAAGAAGTAGGCGTCTTTTAATTTTGCGGCTGCTGTCACCATCTGCAGTGGTCACGGACCCCAAGAAAGTAAAATCTCTGACTGCCTCCATTTCTTCCCCTTCTATTTGCCAGGAGGTGATGGGACCAGTGGCCAGGGGTCCCTTTACCTTTACCTTTATGACTTCTCTTGATCGGGACACTAGACTTCTGTTGATGCAGCCTAGAATAGCTTGTGGTCTACTAAAATCCCTAGGTCTTTTTCACATGTGCTACTGGTAAGCTAGGTGTCCCCCCATCTGATATTTCTGCCGCTGGTTCTTCCTGCCTAAGTGCAGAACCTTACATTTGTCCCTATTGAATTTTTGCTAGTTTGGGCCCAGTTCCAGAGTGGCTAGGGAAACCCAGCCAGATGGGCGGGGTATAAATGATAAAATATTATTATTATTACTATTATTATTATTATTATTATTATTATTATTATTATTATCATCTTGAATCCTGGTTCTGTCTTCTGCGGCATTTGCTACCATTCCCAGTTTGGTGTCACCTTCCAATTGGAACCCCTCAATTCCTTCATCCATATCGTTTATAAAGACGCTGAAGAACAAAGTGTGTTCTCCTTCATGGAGAGCACATGTTGCGGTGGGGGCTAACAAGACACTCACTGTTGCTGGGCGGGGAAAGAATTGGCCACCATTTCATTGAATTTGCTGTTGCTGGGGAGATTTAAATGTTGCCATTTCGTGATTGACAGCCATAGCCTTTAAACACCCTGCTTGCAGCGTTGAGCTTCCTCTTTTTGCTGTGCGCACTGGATCACCCTCCCTCCCTATTTTCTGGTTGCTCGCTTGACCTTGCTATGCCTGTCATGGGGTCGTCTGCTTTGGGGCAGGGGCCTGGGAGGAATTTTGTCCAATTGGCTGATTGCCTGGTGCCATTTGGTTTTTGCCTACTGCGTAGCAAATCGTCACAACTTGTAAGGTTGCGGTTAGGCATTGGGTTAGGAGTTGGTTGGTGGAGGGGTATGGATTGGCTGTGCCTGCCCCTCCAAAAGTGCTGCTGCTGCAAGGGTTTTCCGTTAAAGGAACCCAGGGGCTTTTGTCCGAACCCCTGTCAAGGAACGCCATGCTTTTGTCCGAACCCCTGTCAAGGGGCTAGGGCCACACAAGAGCCCCTGGGAGCATTTGGGGAGAGGTGAGGCATGGTTCCCAGTCCTGTCCGGGCGAATGTCAGTCTGTCCCCATGCGGGGTCAGATAGTCGCAACCAATGCCTAAGCAACCACTCACATCACTTGTAATTTCAATAAATTATGCCCAAAACCTTAAAGCTAAAATCTTGTGTCAACTGTGTTTTATTGGGGGTGTCTTGGGGACCTCGACATGCAACAGGTCTAGGACCGAACCCCAGAGAGCCCCACATGTCACTTTTTTCCAGGATGACGGGGAACCGTTAGGAATGGGAGTCATACATGGCCTGGAGGAATGACTGCAGAAAATGGCGAATAGTCAAGAAACATAATCTTAGGTTTATTATGATTAATGAGTGATTGATGGACTCTGTAAATCCCCACCCCCAGAAAAGAAAGTAATGCAGCATAGAATAGGTAGCAGAATAGCACTTTTAAATTAAGGAGGAACAGAGGGGGAGGGGAGGGTTTGAGGAACTTTCCAGTGTATTTTCAAATCCTGCCAGTACAAAGAAGGATCTGTGATTCTAGTTCAGCTAAGGAGACTGAAACACATTATGTCTCTACACAAATTACAGCATTTTAGCTGTGGTTGGTAAGATTTGACTTCGGATTCTGTACAAAAGCCATGACCTAAAACCCACCCCGTAAACACAGTGGTCAGCAGAAGACTGTGTCAAGCTTTGCTTGCGTGACCACAGATGCAATTTATGGAAACCCTATGGAAGGAGCTATATTTAGTGTTTTGAAGGCGGCTCAGTTTTTGCACTCTACCCAACACACAGTGTTCTTGATGACAGTATTGGTGCTCCCCTGGCTAAATTATTAGAGCCGATTCACCGCAGCCCAAAGCAGGTCCACATGATTCATCCCACCTGTCCCCAGGGATAATTCACACTCGCCTTTTGCCTCACTTTTTCTTTCTTCTTTTTAATAAATTGTATTAAGAAAAATACAACGCGGGTGGCGCTGTGGGTTGAACCACAGAGCCTAGGACTTGCCAATCAGAAGGTTGGCGGTTCGAATCCCCGCGACAGGGTGAGCTCCTCTTGCTTAGTCCCTGCTCCTGCCAACCTAGCAGTTCGAAAGCACGTCAAAGTGCAAGTAGATAAATAGGTACCACCCTGGCGGGAAAGTAAACGGCGTTTCCGTGCGCTGCTCTGGTTTGCCAGAAGCGGCTTAGTCATGCTGGCCACATGACCCGGAAGCTGTACGCCAGCTCCCTCGGCCAATAAAGCGAGATGATCGCCGCAACCCCAGAGTCGGTCATGACTGGACCTAATGGTCAGGGGTCCCTTTACCTTTATTAAGAAAAATGCAAAAGTTATGGAAAACACAAGAATTACCAATGGCAGAAGAATGGCAGATGAAGATGATGGAGTTTATGGAGCTCGCTGATCTCACTGGGAGAATCCATGATCAGAAAGAAGAGGAACACCAAGAAGACTGGAAGAAATTTAAAGACCATTTGAATAAATATTGTAATATTAAAGATATGTAACCACTTGAAAGAATCAATTAGGCCTAGGATTAAATTGGGATTAAATAAATAAATAAGAAAATGCACAATAAGAAAAGTTAGTAAATATGATTATGACTGTGATAGGGTTTTATGAAATAATGATATTGGAAACTGCTATATATAATTATTAAGAAATTCAGATGGAGGAGACTAGAGGAAGTCAAGTAATATGTTTATGAAGATGGATTTTAATTAATTAAGTTTTAATTTTTATGTGGTGATTTGATGTATTTTATATTTTATACTAGGGACGCGGGTGGCGCTGTGGGTAAAACCTCAGTGCCTAGGACTTGCTGATTGTAAGGTTGGCGGTTCGAATCCCAGTGGCGGGGTGAGCTCCCGTCGTTCGGTCCCAGCTCCTGCTCATCTAGCAGTTTGAAAGCACCCCTAAGTGCAAGTAGATAAATAGGTACCGCTTTACAGCGGGAAGGTAAACGGCGTTTCCGTGTGCTGCACTGGTGCTGGCTCGCCAGAGCAGCTTCGTCACGCTGGCTACGTGACCCGGAAGTGTCTTCGGAGGGCGCCGGCTCCCGGCCTCTTGAGCGAGATGAGCGTGCAACCCTAGAGTCGGACACGACTGGCCCGTACGGGCAGGGGTACCGTTACCTTTATGTTTTATACTCTTTTTTTTCCCCGTTTTATTCTTTTTCTTTCACTATTGTTAATTCTTTTTTTTTTTTTTGGTTATGTTTATGTATGAAAAAATAATAAATATTATTGTGGGGGGGGGAGAAAAATACAAAAGTTGTTCAATAATTTTGCAAGATCCTCTGTCTCCTTGGTGGCGATACTAGAAAGCACGAGTTGGATCTTGAAGGACATTTCTGCAAAATTCAGGCAAGCACAAATGTTTGCAAAAGTAAGGCTTGCCAACGTCAAACGTTTTGAGGTGCCTTTCTGTTTGAACTTTCTTGCTTGCTTCAGAGAACACTCCTGCCAACAGCCCTCCTCCTCTTCCTCCTCCTCCTCCTCTGCAGAGAGTACATATACCTGGGTCTTTAACCTCCTTGTCATCAGCCAGACTAAGATCAACAGAAGTGTAAGACTCTGATGAGACTATTTGCTCATGTAGTTCAAACAAACAGGGATGATGTAAAAGCAAGAGAAAACCAGGCACCCCGCAGATCTTTTTCTGGAAATTGAAAACAAACTACCAGACACATGATGCAGCCAAGAGAGGGTGAAGCTTTAGTACTACCAAAAAGAAAATGGAGAAAAACACCAGCAGAGACCAAGCAATTTGCATTGCTGAATGTGAAAACGTTGCAGTTGGCGGATCACCTATGTCATTTTCTTTCTTTACACTTCTACACCACTTAAAATAGAAAAGCATCTCCAAGCAGCATACAGAAAACTGAAGCAAATCCGCTCCACTTCCCAGTGGGGAGGAGTTGCGGTGGACCGCGTGGCCACCCACTCCCCACCGGGGGCGGGGGACTCTGTCCCCCGTTGCCTGGGGGATCCTGGCCATGTCAGAGCCCGGCCAGCCAACCCGCTGGCCGGGGCCATTTAAACGGAGGAGCGAGCCAGAGGACTTCCTCTTTGGCTCGCTTCCTCAATCACCCGCCCTCCCTCCCTATTTTGCAGGTTAGGCAATGGCCTTGCTATGGACTTTGGTTGGTCGCCTTGGTTGTCCGAGGGGCCTGGTAGGAATTTTTCCACTTGGCAAATTGGCACTGGCCACTTGGTTTTCGCCTACCTCGTAGCAATCATCACAACTTTGTTAGGGTTGCGGTTAGGCATTGTTTGACCTTGTGTGGGGGAGGGGAGGTGTGGCCATCACCTGCCCCTCCTTGCTTAAGGGTATTCCGTTAAAGGAATCCGGGGGTGTTGATCTAGTCTGAAGCCCATCTGGGGGGCTAGGGCCTTGACACGACCCCGATGGGAACACCAGGGGGAGCTTGAGTTGATTCGCATCGACAGGGCTCCCCCTACCAGTGGCTTACCCTTACTGGACTTCCTGCACAATGGGCAGGAGTCAGATATAGTCAGGTCCAATCAATGCCTAAGCCAATACTACTCACATTCTGTAATTTCAATAAAGTTGTGGCCAAAATTTGCCCAATAACATAAACCTAATATCCGTGTCCTTGTGTTTCCAACGAGGGGGTGGCTGCGGGGTCTCAACACGCAACTGCGGGCAACTCAAACGACAAGTATTACAAAAATACAAACCAAATTGTCACATGAGTATAACGTTACTAATAAATATAAACCAGTATCAATTCATTTTCCTTCTGACACAGGTTGTGCCTTATCCCTTATATTTCCAGTAAATCACTGCGGTATGTGGGAGAGCTTCTCCTGCAAGCTGCAGGGATCACAGAAGCCCTCTCTGTAGAAACTTGGAGCAAAGATTTCAGGGTGGCTCCCCCAGTTTGGCAGAATAGCATTCCAGTTGAGATGCAGCAGTTGAGATGCCCACTAGCTGCCAGATTAATCCTGCCCGTTACATGTCAGCTCAGCAAACGTTTTACAGTGACCTAAATACTATTTGGAAGTAGACACTGAGAAGCCTCATGTCTATTGCTATAAGAAAATCTATTTCAAATATATGAGTTGCTTTCAGCTAACTTTTACGCAGTGTACACCCACTGAAATTAATTATGACGTGTAAGTTGGCAGGGGATATTAAAACAACATTTCAAGATGTTCGACAACAGAAACAGAACAATAATAAATTCATTACGAAAGCAGTAAGAGTAGACAAGTGGAAAGTCCTTGTAAATAAGAAGTCATAATTCTCTGGTGGGAAGTTTTCGTGACTAATGGTTTTCCCAAGCAGACTATTCCATTGCAGAAAGCCACAAGACAGAAGACCCTTCAGCTGACTGCCTTTAATTCAAAGAAAGGACACAGAGGTGTCCTAACATCTACCTGTAAACAATATAATTTCAGCGTTGGTGGGGGAATGCGGGCGAGGCCAATTACAGCAGTGAAACTCAGTTCTTTTTGCATAAACCCACCTCTCATGCTCAAACTAACACTTGTCTGAGAAGGGTGGGTCTGTAACATTCGAGGCCTTTCTCTCACGGTCTCCCTTCTTTCTCAATAAAGATCTGGAAAACCATTCCATTTTATATATAAGCAGTCAGCCTCTGAAAAAAGACAAATCAGCCCCGTCCGTGTGAATTCCAATAGCTTTCTGATGGTTCAAATCCAAATTTCACAGCTATTCAAGAGTTCTTTTGTGTAGCCAGTCCTTGTCTCGGTGTTTAGCACAACTCAATCCATTTTCCCTGGCTCCCTCCCTCCACCGTCTTCATTTACATTTCTAGGGAGATGAGAAAGAGGAAAAAAAGCTTGCTGCTTCTCTTCCTGGGGGGCCTTGAACTGGTGTGCTCTAGCCAAGGCTCCTATTGTCCTTGTTGCTCTAACTGCAGGCTCCCTCTACTATAGGACTACTCAATTGGAATTTAAATACTCCAGGACTGTTGTCTCAGAGAATAGGGAAGCGCTGCATTAAAGAGTAAATTACAGCAGAGAAGTAACCGGCTTACACAAAATGGACAGGCAGACAAGCACATTATAAGATTTCCAAAGATTCTTCCAGGTTTGGAATGATACCACAACAAAAAATAACCCTTAACTACATAGATTCTGTTCAGCACCCACAGTTTTGATCTTGGCTAATAAAGAACAGAAAAGGAAACTTGTTGGGAGAAGAAGGTCAAACAAGAGAGAACAGTTTGAGATATCGATTTCTTTTTGTGTAGCACCCCCTTAGCTAAAAAAACAAAGTTGTCGCAAGTTCTTCAGAATGTCCCATTGATAGTATTTCCTTCTACTGATATTTCCCAATAATGTGCTCTTTTTGAGACTGAAGCAACTTCTGTATCAGTGCGTTCTTGTGGTTTTCGATCTGTATTTGTGGGAGCAGCCTTATTTAAAATGGAGCCCGACAACGCCTTGCAGGCCTGGGTGAATACAAGGCTCTTAAACATCAGTCCTTACTTTGAATTCCATCGCTTGGCCTGGCTTGTCTCACAACCTTTTAACATGCATTGAAAGTAGCTTATTATCGAGAAAGAAAAGAGCTTCGCTCTTCAGAAACTGCCTTCAGAAACTGACACACAGTCAATTCCTGGAAGGGAAATTTTTCAAATACATTTAAAAACAGTCAAGCAAATCCAGGCTATGCTTCTGCCTCTTTATAAGAACAAAATGTGCCAGTTTTGATTTCCTGCAGCTCAGTTTGCCCACAATGAAGAAGAATGGCTCCAGCACTGGCACCACATGCTATTATTCTGAAACTTGTGGAATGGAGGGCTTTCTTCCCAAACCCCGCTGCCTTGATTTGATTAACACACAAGTATCTCTACCATCAAAATTATTCTTCATTATTAGAATAAATAAATAATTGCACTCATTAGGTTTTATTCCTGCTGGAAAATGCAGATAACCTGTGGGCATCCCAGACAGATTTGTTTTGGCTTGTATTTTTTATATCTTGTTTTCCACAAAACAAGGCTTGTGTATTCTGAATGCTGCAAGCCTCAACAGTACCTTGTGGCGGTGTTCTACATACTTCTTCCTAAAACAGTCGTTTGATTCACTTGCCATTATTTAGGAACTAATTTTTTTTTTAAAAAAATACTGTACTCTTAAATATATTTGGAAGGGAAAAGGCTGCTACTCAAGCCATTTGCGCTACTCTTGGCCCCAAGAACATTGGCAGCTGAAATCTTCATATATATATAATTTTTTATTGATTTTAACATATAAATTATAAAATGTACCACAAAACTTATCACTCATACAATCTTTTTAGACTTCCGTCAGCACCTCTGATGATCCACCGTTTTAACCATTTCTTAGGCATTTCTTAACTTTGTATTGCCTTTAAATCTTTTAACAAATCATCCTTCCCCTTATCCATTTTTTGCACTAATTCCAATAATACTCCTCACAAAACTTCTTGCAACCCTACAAACGTCGTCTGTTCTTCACAATTACTTTTCAAATAGTCCGTAAATTTACTCCAGTCTTCCGTGAATTTCTGGTCCCGCCGGTTCCGAATCCTTCCTGTTAGTTTATCTAGTTCTGCATAGTCCATTAACTTCATCCTCCATTCTTCAATCGTCGGTAATTCTTCTTGCTTCCATTTCTGGGCCAGTAATATTCTTGCTGCTGTTGCTGCATATAAAAAGAGCTTACATTCCTTTCTATTTATACCACTCCCAACAATGCCCAGTAAAAATGCTTCTGAAATCTTCTGTTGGGGTGGGGAGTGACACTGGCCTTTGGCCTTCAGATTTGGGGGACAGCAGGAGTCTTCTCAATGCATCAGAATCAAAACAGCAGCTGCCGTGTATCACCTCTCTGCCACAGTGCACATTCTGTTCCTTTTCTGCAACCCCAGTGGGAAGAGAATCTTAGACAGTAGGAAAACTAAGGGCCAAAATAGACATGATGGCAGCAGGTACATCACAGCGAAAGAGGAGAGTGCGGGTGTCAGATCTTACTAGTAAGAGGCGGGCAAGGAGCACTCCCAATACCATATTTTTTGCTCTATAAGACTCACTTTTTCCCTCCTAAAAAGTAAGGGGAAATGTGTGTACGTCTTATGGAGCGAATGCAGGCTGCGCAGCTATTCCAGAAGCCAGAACAGCAAGAGGGATTGCTGCTTTCACTGTGCAGAGATCCCTCTTGCTGTTCTGGCTTCTGAGATTCAGAATTTTTTTTTTCTTGTTTTCCTCCTCCAAAAACTAGGTGCGTCTTGTGGTCTGGTGCGTCTTATAGAGTGAAAAATACGGTACTTACTGGCGGAGGAAGCGGAGGGCGGGGAGAGCGCACCGCCCCTGGGACCACAATCCTGGTGGGGAGGCATCACGGCTGCCCCCCCCTGCGCTGGGCACCACGCCCCCACAGGTGGCGCACCACGCCCCCGGCACGCACACCAGCCACGCCACGCCTGCTCTTAGTACTACTGCTACTAATTAATTGATTGATTAATTAAACCCTGCCCATCTGGCTGGGTTTCCCTTGCCACTCTCGGCGGCTCCCAACAGAATATTAAAAACACGATAAAATATCAAACATTAGAAAATTCCCTAGACAGGGCTGCCTTCAGATGTCTTCTAAAAGTCAGATAGTTGTTTATTTCCTTGACATCTGGTGGGAGGGCGTTCCACAGGGCGGGCACCACCACCGAGAAGTCCCTCTGCCTGGTTCCCTGTAACTTGGCTACTCGCAGTGAGGGAACAGCCAGAAGGCCCTCAGAGCTGAACGATGGGGGTGGAGATGCTCTTTCAGGTATACTGGGCTGAGGCCGTTTAGGGCTTCAAAGGTCCTAAACACACACAAACACACACACACACACACACACACACACACACACACACAGAGAGAGAGAGAGAGACAGACAGAAGTCTTCAAATGATTTGACCCTTCACCACCTTTTCTGCTTGTCTTCTTATAATTTTCAGACTTGCAGACGTTCATGGAGAAATCTAGAAGAATGTGATCCATTCCCTAAACTTAAGCCAGGACAGACAAAGAGCTTGGGAGTGATTAGAGAAAGCATGTTCTTAGCCATTTCATATGGGCAAGACAATTAGCTCATTCTCTGCCACTTACTTAGAGAGATTGATTATCAAGATGATTTTTCTTTTCTTGCTAGAATGCCAAAGTCTATTTTCCTAGAGCAAAAGCATTATTAACCACAAAAAGAATTTTGTGTTGCATAATGAGCACAGGGAAGCAATTTTACCTAAGATAATGAACACCTGAGATAAGGAAGCAATTCTCTGACAGGTGGCAGTTGACATAAGTCTATATTTCAGTCAACTTTATGTTAGGCTTTAGATGTGCCTGGAATTTAAATGTAATGTTTTGGTAAACATTTCATAGAATCATAGAATTGTAGAGCTGGAAGCAGGGCTAAATTGCTAGAAAAAGAGGTGTCAGAACTCATCATGAACTCCTCCCTTGTTCTCTTATACAGTGGTACCTCTGGATGTGAACGGGATCCATTCCGGAGCCCTGCTCGCATCCAGAAGCGAATGCAACCCGCGCCCCCACTTCTGCGCGTATGCGGTTCGTGATTTGCCGCTTCCGTGCATGCGTGTAACGTCATTTTGACCGTCTGCACATGTGCGAGCGGTGACACCCGGAAGTAACGTGCTCCGTTACTTCTGGGTCGCCGCAGCGCGCATGTTATGTACTGAGTTGAATAGGATCCAAAATGCAGCAGTCTGATTGGTCCTAGAACAATAGGATTCAGAATGCAGCAGTCTGATTGGTCCTAGAACAATGCAGCAGTATGATTGGTCCACAGGAGCCACCCAATCCAGCTCCAGATGGAAGTGAATCCACAACCTGATTGGCCTACAGGAGAATCCCGGAATTAGCCAATCACATGCAGCCCATTATGTAAATAATGTATATAAAGCAGATACTTTGAGGGGACTTTCATTCCTCCTAACCACTATGAGCTGAATATAAAGCATGAAATCCACTCTCGACTCTGAGTATATTTCAGTTTACTTACTAAATGGGCTGCGAGGAGGGCATCTGTTTGTATTTTCAGCGCAACCTGAAAATACTTATCCCGAAGCTACTTCAAGCCGAGGTATGACTGTAATGGCAATGGTGCCCAGTTGAGAGGTGCCAGAACTGAGTTCTAGCAAATTTCAGCTGAAAAAAAGCCCTTTTTGGCCCACTGAGGGCCATTTGGTCCAACCATCTGCAATGCAGGAATCTCAACAACCAGTTTATGCCTTTGTAGCAACATTCTCCCTGATTCAGCAAGGGAGGTTTGCATGTAGAAACTGCTTCCATAAACAGATTATTCATTTGGACCAGGAGCCCCACATGTAGTTCAGATCTGATGGTCAGGCCATTCATGGAGGTACACACTGGTCCCCAAGCGAGCAGGGGGCAATAGACTCTCAGCTTTTATTTTAAAAAGGCGGGTCAACTGGACATTTATGAAGAAAGTTAGAAAACAAAATGTGTAGGCAGTGTGTTTTAGGGCAGAAACGAGAAGCTGCTGTTCCTAAGGATACTTAATCACTTAATCAGTTTTGCTAAGCAAGCAGAGCCTTCTTTATGGTCTGATCGCCGAAGAATTGATGCTTTTGAATTCTAGTGCTGGAGGAGACTCTTGAGAGTCACATGGACTGCAAGAAGATCAAACATGTCCATTCTGAAGGAAATCAGCCCTGAGTGCTCACTGGAAGGACAGATCCTGAAGCTGAGACTCCAATAGTTTGGCCACCTCAGGAGAAGAGAAGACTCCCGGGAAAAGACCCTGATGTTGGGAAAGATGGAGGGCACAGGGAGACAGGGATGACAGAGGACGAGATGGTTGGACAGTGTTCTCGAAGCTACCAGCATGAGTTTGACCAAACTGCGGGAGGCAGTGGAAGACAGAAGTGCCTGGCGTGCTCTGGTCCATGGGGTCCCAAAGAGTCGGACACGACTAAACGACTAAACAACAACAAAGCAATCAGAGAAAGGAATGCTGATCACCCCCACCTAGAACTCAGGAGTGGCAGCAGGAAAAAACAAGCAGAAGTAGCTCATTGTTTGTGTTATTCCCAGACACTGTCATCTGACCCATGCTAACTATACTCCATACATTGTCATTATTACCCTACTTTGATAGAGGCAGATTCAATTTCATAAGCATGGACATATTTTTGATATTTTTGGAGAAGTATTTATCCTTGCTGTCCAAGTATGGACGTCTGAAAGCCATCTGAGCCCTGGTGACTTTCCCATTGATACCATAATCACGTTGAGGTTTAGAATATCTGTGGTAAATGTTTTTGGCTGTACTACTGGTGCTGTAATAAGATCCTAGCTTTGGAATAGGGCAACCTTTAGCGAAACAGCTTTGGCAGAAATATCCCGAGGAATTTTAGTGGCTGAAAACTGGTAGAAAACATGGCTAAGGTGAACCAATAATATCCAGGAAAAACAACCATAAATTATGACAGGGGATGGGATGGGTTGGTTTTCCTTCCTCCATTTGAAATAACTGCAACGAGAGAGAAAATATTCTGCTGTTTCAGAGAACAAATAAGGTTATACTGGCTGTTCGCATTGGTACAATTCTTCCATCAGATTAAGTATTTCTGCTTGTCCGATAGCATGATCTCTGCTCATCCCCATGCAGTGTTCTGGGGCTTCTATGCTCAAGCAAATTTGTGTGGCACCCAGGGAAGGAGTGGAGTACCGTATTTTTCGCTCTATAGGACACACCTTTTCCCTCCTAAAAAGCAAGGGAATACCCCCGCCTCCTAGAAAAGCCAGCAGAAGCCACGCAGCCCCTTTAAAGAGCGCACGGCTTCTGTGGGAGGTGGGCGAATTCCCCCACCTCGTAGAAAAGCCCGCAGGAGCCGCACACCCTTTAAAGAGTGCGCTGCTCTTGGGGACTTTTCCCCGAGGAGGGACAAGGGACTGACTGGCCGCGTCAGTCCTTTCTCCCTCCTTGTAGAAAAGCCTGCAGGAGCTGTGTGCTCCTTAAAGGGTGCGTGGCTCCTGTGGGCTTTTGCGGGAGATAAGGGAATTCCCCCACCTCCTGCAAAAGCAGGGAGAAGGTCTGGGAGAAGCGCACAGTCTGCCTGCAGCCTGTCCGCTGCTCCCAGAGCTGGGGTGGGGATCATATTCCCCCCCCCCCTCTGAAAACTAGGTGTGCCCTATGGTCAGGTGCGCCCTATGGAGCGAAAAATACGGTATATGCTACTGGGACTCATTGCACTGGCTTCTGCTAGCACAACTGTTTCATTGAATCCAGCCCTACCTCACAAGCATTACCTGCCTCACAGAGTATCAGGCTGCACACAGGCATTCTAATGTGCTAAGGAAAGGGAAATAGACAAAACACCAACATTCTTTCGAGAAACACAAAGAGAGGTTTAAACCCAAATCCAATTGCCAGAAATTAAGGACATGGATATGTTGACATATTGATGTTGCTACACTCTCACTTTTTAGGACTGGAAGAGATTTTCTGCCTGAAACCCTGGGGAGTTACTGTTGATCAGGGCAGACAGGGCTGAGCTGGATAATGTTACTAGACATAGGGCACCTTACTGTGTTATGATGGCTATTTGCTGTGCTTTGTACACAGGGGGACACATACAGTGGTGCCCCGCAAGACGAATGCCTCGCAAGACGAAAAACGCGCAAGATGAAAGAGTTTTCCGTTTTTTGAGTCGTTCCGCAAGACGAATTTCCCTATGGGCTTGCTTCGCAAGACGAAACCTCTTGCAAGTTCTTGCGAGTTTGTTTCCTTTTTCTTAAAGCCGCTAAGCCGCTAAGCCGTTAATAGCCGTTAATAGCCGCTAAGCCGCTAAGCTGCTAATAGCCGTGCTTCGCAAGACGAAAAAACCGCAAGACGAAGAGACTCGCGGAACGGATTAATTTCGTCTTGCGAGGCACCACTGTACCCCTAAACATTTTGGGAATCTTTGTACTTTTGTCCATTTAATGTATTTATTTTCCCCGATTTGAACTACAAAATGGTGATTTTCTCGAGTCAAAATGAGAGTACAGTGGTACCTTGGGTTACATACGCTTCAGGTTACATACGCTTCAGGTTACACACTCCGCTAACCCAGAAATAGTACCTCGGGTTAAGAACTTTGCTTCAGGATAAGAACAGAAATTGTGCTCCGGCGGTGCGGCAGCAGCAGGAGGCCCCATTAGCTAAAGTGGGGCTTCAGGTTAAGAACAGTTTCAGGTTAAGAACAGACCTCCAGAATGAATTAAGTACTTAACCTGAGGTAACACTGTACCCCAAACATTTCTCCCCCTGAAAAAAAAGCACTGGCTATTTGTGTCTGGAGACATGAGGCAGAATACAGTGGTACCTCGGGTTAAGAACTTAATTCGTTCTGGAGGTCCGTTCTTAACCTGAAACTGTTCTTAACGTGAGGTACCACTTTAGCTAATGGGGCCTCCCGCCGCCGCTGTGCGATTTCTGTTCTCATCCTGAAGCAAAGTTCTTAACTCAAGGTACAATTTCTGGGTTAGCGGAGTCTGTAACCTGAAGCATCTGTAACCTGAAGCATCTGTAACCCGAGGTGCCACTGTACTTAGAAGGCAGCCTTACCCAACCTGCTTTGGATTACAAGTCCCATCAGACCCAGGCAGTATGGCCAATGGTACGAAATTATGGGACTTGTAGTCCAACAACATCATTAGGGCACCAGGTTAGGAAGGCTGCTATAAGGTTTCTGAAAAGCAAGCGATGGTAATCCTCTCTTCCAATATTGGTTCTGAAGCCAGTCTGTTTGTGCCACCTGTTTTGTTGTTGTTGTTGTTGTTTTACTACAATTACCACCACCACATTTATTCTTTGTGCACTCAGCATTCTCTAGACCTGAAGGCCGGTGTGATGCTATCTCAGATATGTGTTCTTTGTCTGGAGTTTAACAATATATTTGGCAGTGCTGGCAGAGAATAATTTTTTATTTGTGAACATCAATATTTGATTAACTTCATGAGTAAGAAATGTTGGAGTAGAAGTTTTTGATTCGGTTTTCTGATAACCAACCAGCCACAAGACACACACACACACACACACACACACACACACACCCCACACACTCCAACACCCTCTAATTCATAGACAACACACCATCTTCTAATTGCAATGATCTCCACAAAACTATAGATGGGATCAACAGTAATTCTCAGGAAGTTTCACTGCCGGATGGCTTGCATCCCAGTGGAAAATACGAGGCCGCAGATTTGCAGGGTTAATCCCTATTCCGGTTTCAATTGGAGTTCAAATAGCTGAACAGAAGAAGCTAAAAGTCAGAGAATAATCGTGATGACAGGCACATCCATTCTTTCATGACAGGAAAAGTCAAGAGAGCTTAGGGCTTCATATATTCTCTCTAGCTATTGTAGTCTTGTCATATCCTGCCGGAGCATTTTAATAATGGTGGTCAGCAGTTTCATTGCTATCCGTTGCCATGTGACAAGGCTCAAAAAATCCTGCAATCAACAAAGGCCAGCATCAGCTTTGCAGGGGCCCGACATGGGGCCCCTCAATGTATCTGAGTCTACTCCCTGTCCCCATTGTGTGGGATTGCTGGGCACAGCAACAGCAGAAGAGTGCTGCCTGGTGGGTGACTTTCCGCCACTCCACTGCCCACTGGGAAAGGGGGAGAGGGATGACTGGAGAGGTGAGAGTATCACAGGCCGCAATTCTTCTCTCTGTTACTCACTGCCGCTGCTTCTGCTACTGCCACCCACCTGGAATAGCACAGGTGGTGCCTTCAAAGGAGGCTGAAGTTCCTTTGTTTCAGACTGGAGAGTTGGCACGTCTCCCTGCTTATTTAACTTATATGCAGAATTCATCATGCGAAAGGCCGGGCTGGATGAATCCCAAACAGGAATTAAGATTGCCGCAAGAAATATTAACAACCTCAGATATGCAGATGACACAACCTTGATGGCAGAAAGTGAGGAGGAATTAAAGAGCTTTTTAATGAGGGTGAAAGAGGAGAGCGCAAAATATGGTTTGAAGCTCAACATAAAAAAAATGAAGATCTTGGCCACTGGGCCCATCACCTCCTGGCAAATAGAAGGGGAAGAAATGGAGGCAGTGAGAGATTTTACTTTCTTGGGCTCCATGATCACTGCATATGGTGACAGCAGTCACGAAATTAAAAGACGCCTGATTCTTGGGAGAAAAGCAATGAGAAACCTAGACAGCATCTTAAAAAGCAGAGACATCACCTTGCCAACAAAGGTCCGTATAGTTAAAGCTATGGTTTTCCCAGTAGTGATGTATGGAAGTGAGAGCTGGACCACAAAGAAGGCTGATCGCCAAAGAATTGATGCTTTTGAATTCTGGTGCTGGAGGAGACTCTTGAGAGTCCCATGGACTGCAAGAAGATCAGACCTATCCATTCTTAAGGAAATCAGCCCTGAGTGCTCACTGGAAGGACAGTGAAGCTGAGGCTCCAATACTTTGGCCACCTCATGCGAAGACTCCCTGGAAAAGACCCTGATGCTGGGAAAGATGGAGGGCACAAGGAGAAGGGGACGACAGAGGATGAGATGGCTGGATAGTGTTCTCGAAGCTACCAGCATGAGTTTGACCATACAGTGGTGCCCCGCAAGACGAATGCCTCGCAAGACGGAAAAACCGCTAGACGAAAGGGTTTTCCGTTTTGGAGGTGCTTCGCAGGACGAATTCCCCTATGGGCTTGCTTCGCAAGACGAAAATGTCTTGCGAGTCTTGAGATTTTTTTTTCGCTTTTCCCCCCCTTTATCTAATCTGCTAAGCCTTTAATAGCCTTTAATAGCCTTTTAGCAGCTAATCCCCTAAGCCTTTAAGCCTTTAATAGCCGCTAAACCGCTAATAGCGCTAATAGCGCTAATCCGTCAATGGGCTTGCTTCGCAAGACGAAAAAACCGCTAGACGAAGACTCTCGCGGAACGGATTAATTTCGTCTTGCGAGGCACCACTGTACTGCGGGAGGCAGTGGAAGACAGGAGTGCCTGGTGTGCTCTGGTCCAGGGGATCACGAAGAGTCGGACACGACTAAACAACTAAACAACAACAACATCATGATCACTGCTCTCTGTTTCATACTTTTGAGTTTTGTACAGCATGTTCCCAAAAACTGTCAATCTAAAATACAAGGCCTATATTGGTCCATTTTGGCAAGTTGTTTGTAAGTACAATGGTGCCTTGGTTTACAACCATAATCCGTTCCGGAGGTCCGTTTGTAAACCAAAACAGGTTGTAACCCAAGGCACGTTTTCGCCAATGGGGCCTCCCAAAAAAATCTGTTCATAATCCAAAAAAAACGGGTCCAAAAAAAGGTTGCAAACCGGGAAACGCACTTCCGGGTTTGATGTGTTTGTAATCCAAAATGTATGCAAACCAAGACATATGCAAACCAAGGTACCACTGTACTACTCACCTCCCTCCACAAAAAAGAGGTCTGGGGATATTTCTTACCCCTCAAAAGAAAGTCCCAAATTTTTTAGCACCAGTCTTCATTAGAAAGAAAGATTCATCTGAGAAACGTGAGAAAACTGGATGTTTCAGGGAAGCGGGGTGGAAATTATCTCATGTATACAGGAAATGATTGGTTATTATATAAGAAGGTTATTATACAAGGTCTTTTGGGTTATCTAGAGGAGATGTGTGACCAGAACACTGTAATTTAGTTGTACGATCGAGTATTCCAAAAAGATTGGAGTAAATTTATACAATACTTGAAAGAGCATTGTAAGCAATTAGCAACATCAGTAGGGTTATCTGAAGACATGTAATGAGATTTTCTATATTTATTTTAACTGTGAGGTATTTTGTAATGAGTTCTATTAGAGCTGGAAAACATATATAAAATGCTGTGATATAAAGTTTAGTTTTGAAAGCCAAGAGGCGGGAGGGAAGGAAGTTGACAGGCTCTAAGGAGCCAAAGAAGTAAAATGGATAATAATGATGTGATTATACAGGGTAAAAAAGAGGCCTCGTGAAACGTAGGTACTCTGTATCCACGGGCCTCTTTTAAAGGACTTACCCTGTATATAATAATAATAATAATAATAATAATAATAATAATAATAATAGTAAATTTTATTTATACCCTGCCCTCTCCGGCCAGAGCCGGGCTCAGGACAGCTATCACCAGTAAAATTACAGTAAACACATAATAGGAAAAGGAAAAAAACCAATTTAAAATACAGGTTAAAATGCCATTTAAAATGCAGCCTCATTTTAAAAGTAGCCCATAGATCAAAACCGTAAGGGGAGGGAAACATAAGGGTCAGACCGAGTCCAAACCAAAGGCCAGGCGGAATAGCTCTGTCTTGCAGGCCCTGCAGAAAGATGTCAAGTCCTGCAGGGCCCTAGTCTCTTGTGACAGAGCGTTCCACCAAGTCAGGGCCAGTACTGAAAAGGCCCTGGCCCTAGCTGAGACCAATCTAACCACCTTGCGACTTGGGACCTCCAAAGTGTTGTCATTTGTGGACCTTAAGGTCCTCTGCAGGGCATACCAGGAGAGGCGGTAAATGGAAAATTAATAAGAAATTATTTTAAAACAACCACCACCACACTACCTACCAGTTAGCTCTAGGGAGGGGCCCGGGCAGACAGCACTCACTTCTTGGGCTTCATGACAACTCCAGTGGTGCAATCGCAGAGTGGATGAGCCCCCTTCCACACCCCCTTCCGTTATAAAGCTGCACAGCTTCCGCCTTGGGTTGGAGAGGCTGGGTTAGCAGATGAGAGGAAAACAGGGGATCCCCTCAGGTGGCCAGGGCAAGGATTTGGGGGCACGGGGTGGGTGGGGGTGGAAGGACATCACTGGCAACCCTGAATGCAGGTGCCTAGGCGCTGGACAGCTCCCCAGGCACAATGCCTAGGCAGGGAGCTGTCCAGTGGAAAAAGAAAATCTGAACCATGCCTGACCCTGGCAGCAACAACTCACTTGCCTCTCCATCTGCAACACCTCATGCCACCTGGACTTGGCACCACTTGGCTCACAAGTATGACCTGAGCTCATTCATCCTCCTGGTCTACCTGCTCGACGAACAGGAGTGTTGATGGCCAAGCTGTGCCTCTGTGCCCTCACCCTGACCAACCCGGAGTGCTGCCAGTTCTTCTGTCTGGACTGACGTGCTCTGCCTGATGCTTGTGCCCCAACTGGAAGGCCCCCCCTCCATGCCCAGAAGAACATCTCTGTGGTCCAGAAGATGCTTCTGGGCTTGAACTACCTGGCCACAGGGGACTTCCCCTGGCATGTGGGCTCACTCAGACCCCCAGCTCTCTGCCTAAAGGTGCCTATCTGCCTATCTGGAAGCCATAGGGCATGGGTAGGCAAACTAAGGCCCGGGGGCCGGATCCGGCCCAATCGCCTTCTAAATCTGGCCTGTGGACAGTTCGGGAATCAGAGTGTTTTTACATGAGTAGATTGTGTTACAGTGGTGCCTCGCAAGACGAAATTAATCCGTTCCGCAAGAGTCTTCGTCTAGCGGTTTTTTCGTCTTGCGAAGCAAGCCCATTGACGGATTAGCGCTATTAGCGCTATTAGCGGTTTAGCGGCTATTAAAGGCTTAAAGGCTTAGGGGATTAGCTGCTAAAAGGCTATTAAAGGCTATTAAAGGCTTAGCAGATTAGATAAAGGGGAAAAGCGAAAAAAATCTCAAGACTCGCAAGGTATTTTCGTCTTGCAGAAGCAAGCCCATAGGGAATTCGTCCTGCGAAGCAACTTCAAAACGGAAAACCCTTTCGTCTAGCGGTTTTTCCGTCTTGCGAGGCATTCGTCTTGCGGGGCACCACTGTATTTTATTTAAAATGCATCTCTGGGTTATTTGTGGGGCCTGCCTGGTGTTTTTACCTGAGTAGAATGTGTGCTTTTCTTTAAAATGCATCTCTGGGTTATTTGTGGGGCATGGGAATTTGTTCATTTTTCTTCTTCAAAATATAATCCGGCCCCCCCACAAGGTCTGAGGGACAGTGGACTGGCCCCCTGCTGAAAAAGTTTGCTGACCCCTGCCATAGGGACTCACATGCAGGAGTGTAGATTTTTTCAGTTGGTTGTCTTGAATAGGGTTGTTTTGTAAGAACAAAACAAAAGTGCAGGGGGAGTTGGCACTTGAATCTCTGTGTTTCTTGAAAGACCTACTTTGGCTCCCAGTACGTTTCCAAGCACAATTCAAAGTGTTGGTGCTGACCTTTAAAGCCCTAAACGGCCTCAGTCCAGTATACCTGAAAGAGCGTCTCCACCTCCATCGTTCTGCCTGGACACTGAGGTCCATCACCGAGGGCCTTCTGGCGGTTCCCTCGCTGGAAGAAGCCAAGTTACAGGGAACCAGGTGGAGGGCCTTCTCAGTAGTGGCACCCACCCTGTGGAACGTCCTCCCACCGGATATCAAAGAGAACAACAACTACCAGACTTTTAGAAGACATCTGAAGGCAGCCCTGTTTAGGGAAGCTTTTAACGTTCGATGTATTACAGTATTTTAATGTTTTTTTGGAAGCCCAGCCAGATGGGCGGGATATAAATAATAATAATAAATAATAATAATAATAATAATAATAATAATAATAATAATAATCTGGGGTGCAGACATTATGGGAGTGTAACTGGGAATATAGTGTTATATTAACAGCTGGCAATGGTGGGACAGAAAGGGGTATCTATCTGCTAAGCAAAAGCCCTTGAGGCCTCAACTCGTTTCTTCCAATTTGCACTGTAGCCCAAGCCTTCCCAGTTGCCTGTTCTCCTTCAAAGTGTGTTTGTTTAATATCGGACATGTTTATATACGTTAATAGTTTGCTATAGAGATCTGTCAGCCCAAACTGACAAAACCACAAACGAAAAGACTTTGCTGGTTGAAATTAAATGGCCACTTTGCTTTCGCACACAAAGGCGGACAGCCCTCCAGAGCTGCTTAAATTATGGCTGAAATGTCTTTTATAAACATGCTTGGCACCTTTCAGGAGATTAACAGAGATAACCATTTGCCAAGTGGCAACTTGCCGCGATTGAGCTTATAACCCTCGGAACGGTATTCAGGGGACACCTTTTCGTATTCTGAAACTTCCTGAGAGGCGAGGCATTGGGGATGAGTGCAACACAGCTACCCTCTCCTAACCCCCTTTCGGTCAAACTCCAACACATGAAGTCCTCAAGGAGGTTCCCTCCCTGTGCACTGTGGAATCCTGGAAAAACCAAAGTTATAAAGCGAGCTTTCAGCAGCTTCACCACATTGCCCCCTGCAAGTTTGAGGGTGGTGGAAATGACAACAAGGGAAGAAAGACGCAGCACATTTGCCCCCACTGATTTGTTTGCAAAATACTAAGAGGGAGTGCCTGGAGATGGCTTTGGTTTTCATATAAATATATATTTATATGAACCAAACTCTCTCAAGGCTTATTACATAGAAGCTGTTTAAAAGTACACCTTCAACAATAAAACATAAGGGAGAATAAAGAGTCATTAAAGCAGCTGCAAGAAGATCAAACCTCTCCATTCTGAAGGAAATCAGCCCTGAGTGCTCACTGGAAGGACAGATCGTGAAGCTGAGGCTCCAGTACTTTGGCCACCTCATGAGAAGAGAAGACTCCCGGAAAAGACCCTGATGTTGGGAAAGATGGAGGGCACAAGGAGAAGGGGACGACAGAGGACGAGATGGTTGGACAGTGTTCTCGAAGCTACCAGCATGAGTTTGACCAAACTGTGGGAGGCAGTGGAAGACAGGAGTGCCTGGCGTGCTCTGGTCCATGGGGTCACGAAGAGTCGGACACGACTAAACAACAACAAAAGCAAAGTAGAATATAAAAAATGCAATACAAACAAAAACCCCTTTCCAAATAAGAACGGCTGGGGAAATTGTGGGAGACGTTTTAAATCAATCTTCATGAATCTCCACATGCGCTTGATATGTGTTAATAAAATATGGAGCCCAGTAGTGTTTTTTAAAAAGAACTTTCTGTCACAGGGTGATGCAGAACTTGGCCTCGCTGCTGGCACTGGGTGCCACACAGTGGGGGCTGGCACTTACCGCGGGGCCTGCAGCGTCTCTCCTCGGAGTGACATGGTGGCTTGGGGGCCTGCAGGCTCCATGCTGTCTGCAACGGCAGCGTGGGACTTGCGCCTGCCCTCCACGTCTCCCTCAGCCACCCTACAGCTGAGGGGAGGTGGCGGAGAGGCTCCACGCCACGTGCCCCGCCCCCATGGGTGGCTCGCCCCAACCCCGGCTGCAGGGCACACATTCCGCACTCGGCACCCAAACGGCTAACTATGCCACTGAGAAGAGCTTTGCTGAATCCTAGAACAGAATCCTGTTCTCACAGTGGCCAGCTAGACGCCTACAGGAAACCCCCAAAACAACAACAAATCTCTGGTTACGTGAAGCATATTCAATAAACACACAAGACGTAACAGGCTGTATACTATTCATATATATACTATTCATTATATTGAATTGTAGATTTCAGCAGAAGTAGCTCATAAAGTTCAACGAAAAAAGTAGAAGACCCAGTGGATCAGTTCATTCTCTAATCAGTTTATGCATAAAGTCCATATATGTGAAAGTGTCTGTTCCACCTGTCTGTTCATAGAGTCCAACAATCCACGCAAAAGTTCCACAGAATCCTTTCACAGCGTCTAAGACAAAGATTTCCAGAATATTAGTCTTGTTTCGCCGTCTTGGGCTTCATCAGTAGTACAAACTCTAGGTAATGCAAATAAATACAATATTGTAATCTCACACATTTTTACAGCAAAAATAATATAAAAACCGTAAACAACTGTACATACCATATATGATGGAGGCCATTGTGGGTTAGTAGTGAGGTGAGTTGAGTATTAGAGAGAGGTGGTGGTGGTGGTTGGAGATGATAAGGAGAGGTGTTCATTTGATTGTTATTTTGATTGTTATTTGATTTATTACTTTTATTTGATTCATTTGATTTTATTTATTTTTATTTTATTATTTTACTTTTTTATTTTAACACTTATTTTACTTTTTTATTTTACTTTCTGGTTCTTTATATTCATATTTTTTATTTTACATTTTTATTTTGTGCACATGTATATATTTTGTATATTTTTATTTTGTGCATAGAGGAGTAGTTAGGGGTAAGTGTAGGGTTAAGGCGGGGGGTAGGCTTAGGCTTAGGGTGGGGTTGGGGTCAGAGTTAGGCTTGGGTGGGCATTTTAGATAGTTAGCTAGTTTAGAGAGGAGGGTGGGAATTTTTTGTGAACAAAATGTGCAGCTCGGCTCAGGGGGCTCCGAACCCTGAAGTGCTCCAAGCAGGAGACGGCCAAAGCTATTATGGTGAGTGATGGGTGAGTGAGGGACCCCCATGGGGAGGGAGGGGCAGAGAGGGGCTTTGGGCATTTGCCGGAGAGGAGGACCCTTCTGGCTTAGGGGTTGCCAATCCCCTGGAAAGACAGGTCTGGCGTTTGGGGTCAGAGCCGTCCTCTGGAGACCCCCCAGAAGGAGCTGACTTTCCTCCTCTGCTCTCTTCCAGCGAATCTTTGGCCACTTGGAGCGCTTCAGGGATTGCCCCCTGAGCCTGGCCTTGGCCTTGGAGGCCCTCCTCCAGCTGAGGTGAGTGGCGTCTTTGGGGTGGGCGGGGTTGCGGGGTTGGGGACAGAACTCCAGGGGGAGCTCCGGGTGGGCAAGAGCAGGCAGGAGGGAGAAGGGGGCAAGGGAGGAGGCAGCGTCTAACCCCTTCCAGCTTCATGAGACCCCATTTCAGCTGTGATATGGTCAGCGCTATCCTGCATAGGACACTGGAAGCTGTTTTTGGGGGTGCAGAAAAGGAGGAGGACAAAGAGCTATGTCCTCTGCTTTGACATCCCTTTGCACATCTCTTTCTTCTTCTTACACCCTTGCAAGATTTAACCCAGCACTCAACTTCTCTCCTCTATTTTCCTGGAGGAACTGAAGTGGCACTTCCAGAGCCTGCTGGGAGGGGGGGGGTCTCCTCCTGGAAGCCCCCAATGCTGGCACCCTCCTCCAGCTGCTCACTGTAAGGGTCCTGATGGCATCAGGAGTGGGTTTAGGCTTGCCCCCCATCCCTTACCCAACAGACTGTCCCATTTCTGAGGCACCAAGTCTCCTGTCCCGTTTGGCCCCCAATTTGGCCCAAGACCAAAACTGGCAACCCTCATGGTTCAGGAGTGCCAGGGACTCCATGATGGAGGCAGTGGAGGGCCGCTTTGGCCCAGACTGGCCCCTGACTCTGAGACGCTCTCTCTTCCCGCAGGACCTCCGATATTACGCCCTTTGGGGAAGTGAGGCAGAAAGGAAACTAGCGGCCATCAGCGTTTCTCTGCTGATGGCTGTTTCACAAAGATTCTCCCACCTCAGAGTAAGTATCTTGCCTTCCTGTATTCATTTCTTTGGTTGTTTCCATCCCCCCAAGAGCCCATCTCCCAGCGACTTTTAATGCAGAAGATGTGGTGTGTGTCCCTGGGTGCCAGGATGAGGCCAGAGGCTTTTTCTGCTCCCTTTCCTGGCGCTGTCCTTCCACCTCTGCCCAGGGAGGTCCTCTGAGGCAAAGGATTGTGCCCAAGCCATAGGGAGATCTGTCCTGCCTGGCGTGGGGCTGCTTCTGCGCTCTCTTGCACCCATCCAGGGTGGGGTTCGTAGTGTCATCTGACCCAGACTTTTCTTTCCTCTGCAGAACACAGTAATTCGTCCGGAGCGGGCCTGTTTCCGGCAAAATCTGAAAGAAGGTAAGCCCCACACCTTGGGGACAGCAAATTCCCTTGTCCCTTGTTTGCCCAAGACACACCTCCCAGGTCTTCCTGCTGGGAGTCCTGCAGTACCTGCTCCATGCCTGGCAGGCCTTTCCCATGAAGGCAGGTCCACACCATACACGTAAAACATGGCGCGTACATCCACCCACCCCAAGTCCTGGAAATTGTAGTTTGTTAAGGACGCGGGTGGCACTGTGGGTTAAACCACAGAGCCTAGGGCTTGCCGATCAGAAGGTCGGCGGTTCGAATCCCCATGATGGGGTGAGCTCCCGTTGCTCAGTCCCTGCTCCTGCCAACCTAGCAGTTCGAAAGCACGTCAAAGTGCAAGTAGATAAATAGGTACGGCTCCGGTGGGAAGGTAAGCGGCGTTTCCGTGCACTGCTCTGGTTCGCCAGATGCGGCTTAGTCATGCTGGCCACATGATTCGGAAGCTGTACGCTGGCTCCCTCGGCCAATAAAGCAAGATGAGCGCCGTAATCCCAGAGTCGGCCACGACTGGACCTAATGGTCAGGGGTCCCTTTACTTTTACCTTAAGGATGCTGGCAATTGTGGCTCTGTGAGGGGAAAACAGTTCTCAGGATCCTTTGGGGGAAGTAATGTACTTTGGATGTGTTTTAAATACATGGTGTGGATCTGGCATAAAAGTTTTAGGACAGCACAATATGAGACTGTAGCAGCGGTGGAGGAAGCCTCTTGGGCACCTGGGGCAGCGTGCCCAGGGGCAGGACGAACCACCCATAGGGGTGGAGCAGGGCACACGGCGCCCATAGGGATGGAATGGGGCGCTCAGCCTCCCATGCCGTCCCTATGGGTGCCACAGCACGCCCCATCCCTATGGGCACCGTGGTGCGTTCCGTCCCTATGGATGCTGTGCACCCTGTGACCTGTGATCCCATGCTGTCCCTATGGGCGTCGCATGCCATGGGGAGTGTGGTGCCCAAAGGGACGAGATGGGGGTGCGGTGCCCATACAGGATGGGGCGCCCGGTGCCCAAAGGGACAGGGCGCACAGTGGGGCATCAGCTGCCCTACAGCTGGGGGGGAGCAGTGGGCAGACAGGGTAGCCTGCGGCGCCGAGACACATGGTGATGAGTGCTGCCCACCATTTTGTCACCCCCTGTCAGAGTGACACATGGGGTGGGGCAGGCCACCCCACCCCCACCCCTTCCTACGCCCCTGCTGACAGGCTCTCCCAGCTGGATAAACAGGTCTTTACCACAAGTGCCTACTTTGCTAGAGTTTTAGTATTGCTTATTTGCTGTTTTGGTTTTTTAAACCGGTTTTAATCACCTTACGCGTAAATCACCTTGAGATGGTTAACAACAACAATTATATCAGCTACATTAGGCAAGAGCTGCTTCTGTGATTAAAAATGTGTTTTATGGCTTTCTTTGACATCTGGAAGGAACTTCAACTGCCCTGAGTTCTGACCTGCTGATCCTGAGAATAAGCCACTGAAGTACGATTTTTGGTCTCTATAAACTTATTCCTTTGGTGCCAGATGCAAACATGGATCTTTTGACTGATTAATACGGAAATCATTTTTAATCAGAAGACATTTGGGAGGTATTTTCCCAAGGCTAGTTCTTGTTCGGTAGAAACATTTCATATTCCTCTTGCTTCGAAAGGGAGTTAAAGAGACATTTAGATTTCTTTGGAAGGGAGACGTGTATTTCTGGTCTTAAAAGCAGTGCTACTGCCACCCATGCCTGAAGGAGAAACTTTGACACGCAAGGAGTACCCGCATGGCCTATTTCCCATCTTCCCACTCAACATCTTCAGCTGCACATCAGCAGATGTGATCACTCTCAGCGTGGGCTGTGAGAGCGCCAAGGGCAAGTTTGATTCCATAGTCAAAACCTGAGCATGAAGGCAGAGTACGAACTTGCCCTCTGAGGTGCTTACCCTACACTGAGATGCTTTTAAGCTCAGCTACCTGCCAGATAATTTTAATTATATCCTGCTTACCCTAAGGTAAAATACTTTTGTCAAGTTAAGAGCAATTTCCTTGTATGATCTTGAGATGAAACTCACCTCGAAAGTGTATGTTGGGAATGAGTCAAACAGTTATAGTGGGTGATTGATTACAAGCAGCCATTGGCCTAGTAGCAATTTACCAGTAAAGGTAAAGAGACCCCTGACCATTAGGTCCAGTCGTGGCCGACTCTGGGGTTGTGGCGCTCATCTCGCTTTATTGGCCAAGGGAGCTGGCGTTTGTCCACAGACAGCTTCTGGGTCATGTGGCCAGCATGACTAAGCTGCTTCTGGAGAACCAGAGCAGCGCACGGAAACGCCGTTTACCTTCCCGCTGGAGCGGTTCCTATTTACTTACTTGCACTTTGACGTGCTTTCGAACTGCTAGGTTGGCAGGAGCAGGGACCGAGCAACGGGAGCTCACCCCGTTGCGGGGATTCGAACAGCCAACCTTCTGATCGGCAAGTCCTATGCTCTGTGGTTTAACCCACAGCGCCACCCGCGTTCCTAATTTACCAGTAGATAGCTGGTAATCGTTTGCCCATCTGCGGATGAGAACATCACCGCACAGACACAGCCAATCAGAAATCCAGGGAAACGGGTTGTGGGCAAATGATCCTTGCTACCTGTGCCTTCCTCTTAGCACGTTTCTCCCTTTAGTCCTGAGTTCGAGTGTCTTCAAAGCCCAGGACACCTTTGGTAAAGGCTGTTCTCCAACTGGAGTGCTCACAGGCAAGTGTTTCCCAATTGTTGGTGTTTATACTACATTTTTAAAAATTTGCCTTTAAACTTCTTTTGTTGACCACCAGCATTACGCTTTCCATTTTTAAGTTCAGAATAGAGTACAGTGGTACCTTGGGTTAAGTACCGTATTTTTTGCACCATTACACTCACTTTTCTCCTCCTAGAAAGTAAGGGGAAATGTCTGTGCGTGTTATGGAGCGAATGCCTACGGATGGCGGGGGGATCTGCTGCAGTCGTGAGCAGAGGATCCATGGTTCCCCTTCCTTCCCTCCTCCGTGGCTCGCTTTGAAACAGCAAAGCAGAAGAAGAGCCTCTGAGTGGGGAGGAGAGAGGGACAGAGAGCCTGCTTGCTTTAAAGGAGCAAAGTGGGAGAGGAGAGGAGCCGCTTACACGAGTGTTGGCTCGTTTAAAGCAAGCAGGCTCTCTGTCCCTCTCTCCTCCCCACTCAGCTGGCTAAATAGCAGCAAAGTTTTTCAGCGAGCCGGGAAGGAGGGAGAGAAGCAGAGCCTGCTTGCTTCTCCTCTTATACCCCTCTTCTGCATTATTAACAGCATCCTTCTCCACCCACCCCATGCGTGTTCCTTGTCCCTTGAGTGCTTTTCCTTCCCTCCCCACTTAAAACATGGTTACAAAGCATGGATCCACATGGATCCTCAAGATTTTTGCAGTGGGTCACCCCAAATTCACCATCAGATCACATAGCATGTCCATGGCTACAGCTTGCACCAAAAAAATCACGCACCCACTGTTGCCTGGGGCCGCAGTGGTGCAAAAACGTGGTTACAAAGCATGGATCCACATGGATCCTCAGGATTTTGCATTGGGCTACCTCAAACTCACCGTCAGATCACATGTCTGTGGCCACAGCATGAACCACAAAAATCATACATCCACTGTTTCGTTTAGAATATTTTTTTTCTTGTTTTCCCCCTCTAAAAACCATGTGCGTGTTATGGTCGGGTGCGTGTTATAGAGTGAAAAATACGGTACTTAATTCGTTCCAGAGATCTGTTCTTAACCTGAAACTGTTCTTAACCTGAAGCACCACTTTAGCTAATGGGGCCTCCTGCTGCAGCCGTGCCGTCGGAGCATGATTTCTTTTCTCATCCTGAAGCAAAGTTCTTAACCCGAGGTACTGTTTCTGGGTTAGTGGAGTCTGTAACCTGAAGCGTATGTAACCTGAAGTGTATGTAACCTGAGGTACCACTGTAGTTGCTTTGGAAGATGATCATCAGGCATCTGCACAACATGACCAGTCCAACGAAGTTGATGTTGAAGAATCATCGCTTTGACACAGGTGATGTTTGCTTCTTCTAGTACACTGACATTAGTTCGCCTGTCTTCCCAAGTGATGTGTAAAAATTTTGTTCAGGTTGTGGATGCCTTCCATATGTACTACTGGCAAGTTGGGTGTCCCCCATATTATATTGGTGCAGCTGATTCTTCTTGCCTAAGTGCTGAACCTTACATTTGGAGTCCTTATTGAAATTCATGTTGTTAGTTTTGGCTTAGTTCTCCAATCCGTTAAGGTCATCTTGAACCCTGATTCTTTATTCTAAGTATTAGTTATCCTTTGGTGTCATCTACAAATTTGATGAGCATCCCCACAATTCCTTTGAGGAGTTGAGCAGGGGCAGGTCACTCATAAGGGACAGTAAATGGATAAGAGATGGGATTTACAAGGTTGCCTGAGGCTTGGATGAGATGAAGGATTTTGTGCCTCTCTCACATCCAGAAATGCCATGCATGAAATTTCCTCTATTTGCATTATCAATAAACCCCCTGTCCCCTCCCCCAGTCTTCTGTTGGGCTCTTGAATGAGGCTGAGGCAACCATTTATTAAAATTCACTTGTTAGACTAAGAATGCAGCCTGCTTCTATAAACCGTTGGAGCAACAAGGTCTCCTGGTTCTCACATTACATACCATGCACGACAGAGTCTCACATTAGCAAGGCCCAATTAAACCAAGCCGTTGATTAAACAAGCCAATGAGAGTAATTAGCTTAATTAGATTCTTTCCATAATGGCGCTGGACTATTGTAGAGAGGCAGCGAAAGAATAAAGCGAATCAAACTTTTCTTCTTCTCCTCCTTCTCCCGAAGTAATTAGAATTGGCTGGTGCAATTTTTTAACTCACAGGTCTGAATAGTGGCTCAGGGCATTGGGGTGGGGGAGAGAATGATTAATGAAGGTGAGGATATGGAAAGCAAACAAAAAGAATGGAATGTATCTCAAATGAATGAAGAGGAGGCAGCTTTGGTAAGAAACAGCATCTTATATCCTGCAGCGGTTGCTAAAGTGTCTGTCTCAAGTACGCAGCCGCGACACTGCTTCCTTCGGAAGAGGGGATGTCGCCCCCCTCACCTTTATTCTTACATTGTTTTCTATTCAGGTGTAAATTCAGTTCTGTTAAAAGAAGCCCCCCCCCTTCAGGAGCACATACAAGCTCAAAGATCTGGTCTGTGCATGCACTAAAAGTGTTTTCACATCTATCAGTGTATTCTACGATACAAAAAGATAACCTTTATTGCCGTTGTCCCATACAGAACATCGGAATTGAAAAATCTACATAAAACATTCAAAACCCAACAAGCCTGCTATCCCAGCCTGGCTAGCCCCCTAAAAACTCTGATACCCCATTTTTAAATACAATATACTCCCATAGAGACTACCTTACACTGCGTTTAAAACCAAAATCACATTTGGGTAGAAACTGTTTCTCAGGCGGCTAGTCTTTATAACCCTGTACCTTCTTCCAGAAGGCAGAAGCTGAAAGAGATCATTTCCAGGGTGTGCACTATCCTGCTCTATATCTGCAGCTTTCTTATGGCACCTGGCAGCATAGATTTGATCCAAGGTGGGAAGAGTGCACCCAATTATTCTCTCAGCAGTCTTTACAACCCTGGATTTTGTTTTTTCCCCTGACCATGCAACTCCCAAACCACACACACAATTAAACCATACCTTCCAGTTTCAACAACAGCTTTTTCAGTAATCTTTGTCTGGGGCTTGTAAACTGCATGAGTGGCTCAGAGCGCCTTTTGCCAGGTGAAGCGGCTGTACCAAATGCAATCCCTCCTGCTGAGAGATTGCCAGGCCCCAGTTGGCAAGTTCCTGGTAACCTTTGGGATTGACTACTCACAGTGCTTTATGTGGAGATGCTCTGGACAACCGTTGAGGATCACCTAAGTGCAGCAGCCAGCTAGTAGAAACCATATAGCTGCTTAAAAATCCTAACTGGTTTTTGGTCCATTTCTGAGCACAATTCAGATGAAACACTAGTACACAGAAAAACAACTAATGGACTTTTAGAAAACATCTGAAGGCAACCCTGTTGTGGCGATCACACAGGGTCCCCGGACGTTTGACGGTCTGTTGATCCCTGTGCCACCACTGTGATTGCTTCCCCGCTGCCACCAACCCGTTTCTCTCGGGTACACACAGAGTCCAGACAGTTGTTAACATTAACAAATAATCAAGTTTATTTTATAGGCATGAACTAGTTTATGGTTTCAGTTAATTTTTCTTGGCAGTTTTTCAATCTTAGTTTCATTACTGACCTATACATTCCTAACAACTTCAAACTGGTTATCCCAACTATCTGTCTCTGACTCCACCTAACAGTTCCTCTCACTCTCTCACAACACAACTCGACCAACCCACAGACATATCCTCCCTCTTCCTTCTCCAACTCCCAACTCTCAACTGACTTCCACACAACTCCAACTCTAACTCCTCCCCTTGGGTTCCCACTGGCCAATCACTTCACACTCATTTAACCCTTTCCTTATGACCCACCTAGGAGGCAAACGCCACACCTGTTCAGGGAATTTTTTTAAAGGTTGAGGTTTTACTGTGAGAGACCCCCCCCATGGGAAATGGGGGCACCATGCTGCTCTGGTTCAGTTCCTACACAAAGGACTGCCAATTCCAGGTGGTAGTGCTTGAGGAGACTACTGCTCAGTGTAATACAGTGGTACCTCAGGTAAGTACTTAATTCGTTCCGGAGATTTGTTCTTAACCTGAAACTGTTCTTAACCTGAAGCACCACTTTAGCTAATGGGGCCTCCCGCTGCTGCCGCCGCGCCGCCGGAGCACGATTTCTGTGCTTATCCTGAAACAAAGTTCTTAACCCGAGGTACTATTTTTGGGTTAACGGGTTAACGAAGCGTATGTAACCTGAGGTACCACTGTAGTGCTTCTCCTATGATTCACATGGTTCCACTTTGATGTCTATGCTTTCTACCAACTACATAATGCTACTGAGTGAGATCATATGGGGATTTGGAAGGAGCTTTCCCCCTTTCCCTCCTGCTTTTCGTGTGGCTTATAAAGAAGAAACAATCCCTCCCTCTCCAATGATAACCTCCAAGTCTCTCACTTGGACTACTGCAATGCGCTCTACGTGGGGCTACCTTTGAAGGTGACCCGGAAACTACAACTAATCCAGAATGTGGCAGCTACACTGGTGACTGGGAGCGGCCGCCAAGACCATATTACACCGGTCCTTAAAGACCTGCATTGGCTCCCAGTACGTTTCCGGGCACAATTCAAAGTGTTGGTGCTGACCTTTAAAGCCCTAAACAGCCTCAGTCCAGTATATCTGAAGGAGCGTCTCCACCCCCATCGTTCTGCCCAGACACTGAGGTCCAGCGCCGAGGGCCTTCTGGCGGTTACCTCACTGCGAGGAGCCAAGTTACAGGGAACCAGGCAGAGGGCCTTCATGGTAGTGGCGCCTGCCCTGTGGAACGCCCTCCCACTAGATGTCAAAGAGAAAAACAACTACCAGACTTTTAGAAGACATCTGAAGGCAGCCCTGTTTCTGGAAGTTTTAATGTTTGACAGAGTATTGTATTTTAATATTTTGTTGGAAGCCACCCAGAGTGGCTGGGGAAACCCAGCCAGATGGATGGATTATTAATAATAATAATAATAATAATAATAATAATAATATTCCACCTTATACCCAGAGGTCACAGAAAAGATCACAAAATCAAAATAAGAACAATAACCCAATACCCACCTCCCAAAGAATCACATTTTAAAGGGTATATGATGTTCATCCAGTCAACCAAACGCCTGGTTAAAAAGGAACATTTTTGCCTGGCCCTAAAGGTGTATAGAGGGACGCGGGTGGCGCTGTGGGTAAAACCTCAGCGCCTAGGACTTGCCGATCGCATGGTCGGCGGTTCGAATCCCCGCGGCGGGGTGAGCTCCCGTTGTTCGGTCCCAGCTCCTGCCCACCTAGCAGTTCGAAAGCACCCTTAAGTGCAAGTAGATAAATAGGTACCGCTTTCTAGCGGGAAGGTAAACGGCGTTTCCGTGTGCGGCGCTGGCTCACCAGAGCAGCTTCGTCACGCTGGCCACGTGACCCGGAAGTGTCTTCAGACAGCGCTGGCTCCCGGCCTCTTAAGTGAGATGGGCGCACAACCCTAGAGTCTGTCAAGACTGGCCCGTACGGGCAGGGGTACCTTTACCTTTACCTTTAAAGGTGTATAATGAAGGCACCAGGTGAACTTCCCTGGGGAGAGCATTCCACAGGCAGGGAGCCACTGCAGAGAAGGCCCTGTTCTCGTGTTGCCACCCTCCGGACCTCTTAAGGAGGGGGCACACGAAAAAGGGCCTCAGAGGATGATCTCGGGGTCTGGATAGGTTCCTATGGAAAGAGGCGGTCCTTGAGGTATTACGGTCCTGAGCCATTTAAGGCTTTATAGGTCAAAACCAGCACTTTGAATTGAGCCCGGAAACTAATCGGTAGCCTGTGCAGTCAGACCAGGATCAGTGTAATATCTTCAGACCGTCTTGCTCTGGTGAGCAACCTGGCTGCTGAATTCTGCACTAGCTGAAGTTTTCGAACCGTCTTCAGAGGCAGTGCATAATGTCTGGCTCTGTGTATACACTCCCATTTGCCCTGCACCTAAGGTGCTTCCACCACCGGTTTGGGAAGCAAATGTCTATGCACCATATGAGCCACAATCCATATTGATCCTGCTGTTTCTTTGGCATTTGAGCTGCCAAACCAGCTGAGACCCAAAATGGAGAAAAGGAACAGCCTAGCTTCATTTGAAGCACCGTTAAAAAACCGATAGAAATACAATCCCTTTTGGAAGCTAACCCTTCAATCTCTGAAGAGCGCCGGGTTGTTGTTGTTTTTTACCGGAGAACCGGCAAGCCATAAAAAAACATTGCAGCAGTTTCACAAGTTGCCCTGGAATGCTGTAGTAGTGAAACCCTGTGTGAACAAATCTCCCCCCCCCCCAAAAAAAGCCCAAACCAAAAAACTCTAATGTCAGGTGGTGCCCCTCCTTGGAACCCAACCCTGAGCAGCTTGCCCCCCCCTCGCCTCGCCTCACAATGCGGCAGAGAGACCGCAATGGCCCCGTTTTACATGAAAAAGGCCCCTATTGAGGCTCGCTGGGCCAAGGAGTAGGAATTATTAATCACTCCTCCAAAAGGATCTGCCCAATTCATGGCAACCTAACTTCAAATCAATTAGTTCATTTGTCCTCCCCTATAGCTGTCCGGCGCACAATGGCGACATCTCCCGCAAAAGATGACACGGGGGGGGAAGAAACCACAAAGATTGCTTGTCCTAATGAGCAATTAGGAAAGCGTGTAGGTTTCCTCTTTCTTCGGCCCATTCTGAGGCCTGAATTCTAAAAGTGATGCTTTTCTTCTCAACTTCCTGTTTGTCAAATGAAGTGCTAATCAGGGCTCCTTGGGGATGGCGAAGGGGGGGCGGGATAGCACAACCTCTAGCTGACCAAAGTTGGATGAGGTGAAGTGGCTTCGTCCGCAGCGCAGGGTAGCTGGAAGAGAAAATAATCAGGAGCGGTGTGTCCCCCCACACCCCGCACCTTCGGAAAACACGCTGCCCTCCAAGCAGTTCCACACACCTGAGTTAAAATTGGCACATCACTCGTTAGCCACGCCAACGCTCCGAGGGGGCTTGCACATGCAGCGATAAGCATGCCTCTTTCCCTTATGAAAGTTGTGTGGGAGACTGCGGTCACATCATACAATGCAGATTCTTGCTGGCTAGTGTGATAGGAATTTTGAGGTCTTTGTTGTTGTTGTTTAGTCGTTTAGTCATGTCCGACTCTTCGTGACCCCATGGAACAGAGCACGCCAGGCACTCCTGTCTTCCACTGCCTCCCGCAGTTTGGTCAGACTCATGCTGGTAGCTTCAAGAACACTGTCCAACCATCTCGTCCTCTGTCGTCCCCTTCTCCTTGTGCCCTCAATCTTTCCCAACATCAGGGTCTTTTCCAGGGAGTCTTCTCTTCTCATGAGGTGGCCAAAGTATTGGAGCCTCAGCTTCACGATCTGTCCTTCCAGTGAGCACTCAGGGCTGATTTCCTTCAGAATGGAGAGGTTTGATCTTGTTGCAGTCCATGGGACTCTCAAGAGTCTCCTCCAACACCATAATTCAAAAGCATCAATTATTCGGCGATCAGCCTTTTTTATGGTCCAGCTCTCACTTCCATACATCACTACTGGGAAAACCATAGCTTTAACTATACAGACCTTTGTTGGCAAGGTGATGTCTCTGCTTTTAAGATGCTGTCTAGGTTTGTCATTGCTTTTCTCCCAAGAAGCAGGCATCTTTTAATTTCGTGGCTGCTGTCACCATCTGCAGTGATCATGGAGCCCAAGAAAGTAAAATCTCTCACTGCCTCCATTTCTTCCCCTTCTATTTGCCAGGAGGTGATGGGACCAGTGGCCATGATCTTCGTTTTTTGATGTTGAGCTTCAGACCATATTTTGCGCTCTCCTCTTTCACCCTCATTAAAAGGTTCTTTAATTCCTCCTCGCTTTCTGCCATCAAGGTTGTGTCATCTGCATATCTGAGGTTGTTGATATTTCTTCCGGCAATCTTAATTCCTGTTTGGGATTCATCCAGCCCAGCCTTTCGCATGATGAATTCTGCATATAAGTTAAATAAGCAGGGAGACGATATACAGCCTTGTCGTACTCCTTTCCCAGTTTTGAACCAATCAGTTTTTCCATATCCAGTTCTAACTGTAGCTTCTTGTCCCACATAGAGATTTCTCAGGAGGCAGATGAGGTGATCAGGTCTTAGATATATGGTAATGTTCATAAGTGTACCAACCAAGCCCGTACAGAGATCAGCACAGGAAGACCGACCTGGAACCATTTTGATTCCTAAACTAAGCAAATTTTTTCTCTGCAAGGTCAAAGTGGGAAACCTCCCCATTGTCTCTTTCCTCACAAATCCTGTCTTAAGCGCGCATTTAAGATATGAATAGGGTGTGAGTCTGTGACCTGGCCCAGGAACTACGTATTTATCATTACAAAAGACGGGCAATCCAATCATGTAACCTGCCAGACAGGAGATAAACAACGACAGGAGAAAAACAACATCCAAATTTCTGTTTTAGACCGCCTTTTCTGTGATGTAGGTATGATGTATCTGGGGGGTGGTCTTAGGTTACACCCCTCCCTTCTGTGATGTATGTATGAAGTTTCTGGGGGTGGTCTTGATCTACAGGGTGGCAGTTTCAAAAGTCTTTATAAGGCCTTGTGCTCCATTTTTCTGGGTCCCTCCTCTCTGCTGCGTGTGAGGGGAGCACCCTGTTGCAACGGATCAATAAAGATCAAGCTTACTAGCTGCTTTGCTTCTCAATATTCTCTGGTTGGCCTCTGTTATTTTCTCCTACCAATAGGGAACCTATGTAAGGACTCTATATGGGCTCTTGGATACCCCATAAGGGAAAAAGGCAATTTTTGTTTACAACACTAGTAAGTTTAGGGGCAAATGACCACAGAGCTGTATTCCTGATCGGCAGAGACTCAGACCATAGAAAATGTAGGGCTTTGTGTGATGTCATTTCCCCTCCTCTCCTGGGAGGGAAAGAACATACAGTGGTGCCCCGCAAGATGAACGCCTCGCAAGACGAAAAACTCGCAAGACGAAAGGTTTTTTCATTTTCGAGTTGCTTCGCAAGACGAATTTCCCTATGGGCTTGCTTCGCAAGACGAAAACGTCTTGCAAGTTTGTTTCCTTTTCGTAAAACCGTTAAAACCCAGGGTGCATTGCTGGAAGAGGTGCAGTTGCGACTTGACTTCGAGGAGCAACACATTGCACTGCGGTGTGGTGGCCTTTTGAGCTTTTTAAAGAGTTTGCTGAATTTTTGAAGCTTTTCCAAAACTTCTGTTGCAGCTGTTTGGTAAGTTAAACTTTTAAAACTTTTTTGGGGGTTTTTGGATTTTGGGTTGGGGTGTTTAGAATTCAAGGACTTGGTGTTGGGGAGAGGTTTGCAAGAATCTGGGAGCTTGTGTTGTTTTTCTCTGCATTTTTATGATTTTCTGTGACCATTGGGCCATGTTTATTTTTTTTGGAAAAAAATTTCTGGGTTTGAATTTCTGTGTGCTGGGTGGCTGGGGGAACAGCTGGGGAGGGGTTTGCAAGAATCTGGGAGCTTGTGTGGTTTTTCTGCATTTTTATGATTTTTTGTGACCATTGGGCCATGTTGTTTTTTTGAAAAAAATTTCTGGGTTTGAATTTCTGTGTGCTGGGTGGATGGGGAACAGTTGAGGAGGGTTTGCAACTGTTGGGGAGTGTTTGCAACATTTGGGGTGGGGCTGGGGGAACAGTTGAGGTTTTTGAAGACTTTGGTGATTTTTAAAGCTTTCCCAAAACTTCTTTTGCAGCCATTTGAGGATTTTGAAGACTTTGGTGATTTGCAGACATTTCGTAAGTTAAACTTTTACAACTTTTTTGGGGTTTTTGGATTTTGGGTTGGGTGTTTGGAATTCAAGGACTTGGTTCTGGGTTTGAATTGCTGATATTTTTTTTTCCTTTTTCTGAGTTTACGAAGGTAAGAGCTGTGCTGCCATGGGACCCAAGAAGACTGCTCCTGCTGCGGAGGCCGGCGAGAGGAAGAAGGAGAAGGTGACGCTGGAAATGAAGAAGGAGATCATCTGGAAGCATGACGGTGGAATGCGTGTGACGGACCTCGCCAGGGAGTACGGCAGGAACCCATCGACCATCGGGACTATCCTGAAGATGAGGGAGAAGATCCTTGCGACTGATGCAGCCAAGGGAGTCACCAGGATCGTGAAGAACCGCCCAGCTGTTATGGAGGAGGTCGAGAAGTTGCTGCTCATCTGGTTAGAAGAGAAGCAGCGTGCAGGGGACACAGTGACTGAGGCCGTCATTTGTGAGAAGGCCAAGGCCTTGCACGCAGACCTCATCCTGGAACAGCCAGGAACCTCAGGCGAGCCAGAAGTCTTCAAGGCAAGCAGAGGCTGGTTTGACCGGTTCAAGGTAAGATCTGGAATCCACAGCATGGTCAGGCATGGAGAGGCTGCCAGTTCTGATGTTCCTGCGGCTGAAGACTTTGCCTTGGAGTTCCTGGAGGCTGTGAAGACAGAGGGCTACGTTCCACAGCAGGTCTTCAACTGCGACGAGACTGGGCTGTTTTGGAAGAGGATGCCCAAAAGGACTTTCCTCACACAGGAGGAGGCCAAGTTGCCTGGCCACAAGCCCATGAAGGACCGTCTGACCCTGGTCTTCTGTGCCAACGCAAGCGGCAACCTGCAGATCAAGCCCCTGCTGGTGTACCACTCGGAGAACCCATGGGCCTTCAAGAAACACAAGGTCGACAAGGAGCGGCTGAGTGTCATGTGGCGATCCAACAGCAAGGCTTGGGTCACACGTGTGCTGTTTGTGGACTGGGTCAATCTTGCTTTTGGCCCTGCTGTCAAACAGTACCTGCTGGACAACGACCTGCCGCTGAAGGCTTTGCTTCTGATGGACAATGCTCCTGCTCATCCTAAAGGCCTTGAGGTGGACTTGTTGGAGGAGTTCAGCTTCATCAACATCATGTTCCTGCCGCCTAACACCACGCCACTGCTCCAGCCGATGGATCAGCAGGTCATCGCCAATTTCAAGAAACTCTACACCAAGGAGCTTTTCAGGCGATGCTTCGAGGTGACTGATTGCACCACCATCACCCTGCGGGAATTCTGGAAGGACCACTTTGACATCGTCACCTGCTTGAAGATGATCACCACGGCCTGGAACAGGATCAGCCAGAGAAATTTGAATTGCGCTTGGCGCAGCCTGTGGCCGGACTGTGTGGCACCAAGTGACTCTGATGCACCAGAGTCGACAGTGGTGCAGGACATTGTTGCCTTAGGGAGGACCATGGGCCTGGAGGTCACAGAGGAGGACGTCTGCGAGCTGGTGGAGGAGCACGACCACGAGCTGACCACCCAGGAGCTGGTTGAACTGCAGTCAGAGGTTGCGCAGGAGCAGGCCTCGCTGGAAGAGGAGGAAGCAACTGAGGAACGGCCGTCCTCCAAAGAACTGAGGGACATTTGCCAGAAGTGGAAGGAGGTGCAGGCTTTTGCAGAGCGGCACCACCCTATCAAGCACGTGGCACATGACCAAGCGAACACTTTTGATACGACGGTCATGTTGCCTCTCAGGGAGCTGCTGAAAAGGCGGATGAAGCAGCAGACCATGGACAGGTTCCTCAGCAAGAAGCAAAGAGTGGAAGAGGAACCTTCTTCGAGTGGTCCCCCAGAGTCTTAGAAAATGTAATGTACCCTGTTTTGATTTTTAAATGTTTTTTCTGTCATGTTTAGAAACTTAATTTATTGTTCCTTCAATTTTTGATATGCTCTTTAAAGTATGTGTGACTTTAAAGAGCAGTTAATAAACTGTTGTTGTACCAAATTTGGCTTTGATTGGACTTTTTTTGACCATAGGAACGCATTAATTGAATTTCAATGCATTCCTATGGGAAACCGTGCTTCGCAAGACGAAAAATTCGCTAGACGAAAAAACTCGCGGAACGAATTAATTTCGTCTTGCGAGGCACCACTGTGCTGTAAAGTCCTCTTTCCTTCCCTGTTCCCTTTCTCTCTCTTCTTGACCAGCCATGGGGGCAGATGTGTCCTGTGCTTGCTCCACTCCTCGACACATGCCTGAGACTGTTTGTACTGTAAACAGAAGTATTTTATCTGCATCGTTTTTATTGCTTCTGTAACAAAGAACCAATGCAAGACCATCAGTAAACCATCTTACTTTCCAGTCTGTTGTCTGATTTGTTAAGTGGGTTAAAATGAGGCAGTGAACTGGACTTAACTAAAACCAGTGCTTTTTCTGGGGGGACGCATACCCCTAAACATTTTGTGAATCTAAGTTTGGCCTCATTGAGGGGCAGCATTTCAATATGAGTAGGAAAATGAGAGTGCCCCTAAACATTTTTTTAAAAAAAGCACTGGCTAAAATAAGGTTGAGCAGCCTGTTCCTACATGCTTCAATTTTGCTGCTAGCAATGGGGCTTTAAATTCTGTTCAACCCACAAACATGGGGGCC